GGCGTGTGTTTAAAGAGATGAGAATTCTCTCTTCATGATGAAAAGTACAATGTCCTGATTTTGTCTCCTCTTGCTATGTATGTGTCCTTTTCAAGTAGCAATGTAACATCTCCAGTTTTGTTTTTTTGTTGGTTTTTTTTTTTTTGTAGTAGAGCCCCTTGAGAGTGCTTGTTCTCTCTGTTGCCTAAATGCAACTTGTCTGACAGAAGACAGCTTATATGTCGGTTGTTCTAGCGCCAGTCAGTGCTATTATTTTGTTTGGCAAGAGGAGATGTTGGAAAGCTATTGCTTCCACATATTGTTAATCCCGTAGTAAAATGTCCAGTTCTCTCATGTGTAGCAGTAGGGCGTCAGGGAGCCGTTCCCTTCCCTGTGGGATTTTAATTTCATGTATTTTAGGGAAATACGATCTACTGCTGATAAGGTAATAGCTTCCTTCTGTTCAAGTAGACTGTAAAAATTTGGCAGAGTTTCTTGGTAGCAGACAGGAACATAACATCTGAAAATAACTTATTTTAAAAAAATGGCATGCCTGACTATTGCCTGTATGCTACTTATAATATATATCTTATGTGTAATTACACAGAGCATACATAACATTGCTGCCCTAGAAGCAAGTTCTAGCCAAAGGAATAAACAAAACTGTCAAAGCATAAACTCAGTCCTGGCATTTCAGTTTTGAATCATTGTTTGGACCAACATTTTTGCTGAGTTGAAGTGCATCAAACCTGGCTGGCAGTGAGCCAGGAAGAGCGCATTTCATGAATAGCAGTATGATTAAAACCAGCATAGCTTCCTCTTCCACATTACATGGCTGTGAACTTTTCAGTGCACACAACGTCCTTGGGTGGAGCGTGCCATCCTGCTGCTTGTGTGGTTCCGCTGGGCGAGACTACAAGTGTTGTCTGTCTCACAGCATTTCCCTCCAGTGTGGGTAGTCACTCAGATCTTTTAAAATAGGAGGAAATAAATGGCTTGTTTATATTTTTTAATTTAATAACTATGCACTTGCAGTAATTTGTTTAAACAAATTGGTTCTTAATAGAACTGAGTAATTTTGATTTGCAGGTGGCTTTGCCAAATGATGCTAAAACCTAGTCAAATTAGGAATGTGTAACCTGAATATTAGGTACCCCATCACCCTTCTCATTCTGTTACTCTGGAACATCACTTTGCATTGTGATTGGACAGAGAAGTTGATTTATAAAGGTTTTTTTGAATTGAAGCAGTGCTCTTGATAAAGCCTGCTATTTAAACTCCTTGTGTGCAACTCCTGCTGTTTAAAAGTTCATTTTAAGGAGATGCCATCAGTTAATATCCTGGTTTATGTTATGGAAAATGATGGCCAGTACATCATTTTCTCTATAAGGACCAGCTGAACTCTTGAACTTAACTGCCTGGTGATGCAGAAAGTGTTGGAGAGGTTGTGCCCAGGGGGATGGTTGTTCATTCTCCACTGCTGATGACTGAAGTCCAGTTAGTATGTTTTAGAACAGATATGACTCTGCAGCTCTGTCTAGTGTTCATAACCAGTGCTTACTCCTCACCTGACCAGCTACCAATCTGGTTTTTGCACCATTCATTCGTGCTGCAGATGAGGTTGTAAGGCATCCTGTAGCAGTCACCAGTGGAAACATGTCCTAAAAAAGGAATGAGATCTCCTAAGTTTATTTTACATTAACTGTTGAATAGTAAGGGTAGGAAAATGTTTGGATGTCTTTGTGGTTGAAATTTCACTCTTTTATTTAAGCAATAAGGGTTTCACATCTCATTTTGAAATGTTCACCAAGCTGTTCCCTCAATGACATGCGTGTAACTATTGCAATAACATTCTTGTGTACAGAGGTTTGACCTTAATAGCAGGTGCTTGAAACATTCTCGTCCAAGGAAAAAAAAAAATTCTTATCTCTGTGAGGCTTTGGGAAGAATAAATATTTAGTTTTGAAAGAACTCTGTTTTCTAAAAAATGTATTGGCTCTGGGAAGGTATGTGTGCTCAAATGAACATGCTTTTCAAAGCTCAGTGCTACAGTACCAGAAATACTATCCAGTCTGTCTTGGGTCTTTTTCCTCTCTGGAGTAAAACTACTGATTAAAATTGAGATAACTGAAAAATATAGATGAATAAGCATATGGTGCCACTATACAGGCACATATTTATATATATATATATATGAACAACTTGCCAAACAAATCATATGCTTTTTTGGGATTTTACACTTCATAATATTTAAGAAGATGTAAAGTAAAAAATACTCTAGAGCCTTTTCTGCTTGGTAAAAGTTGAGTAACAATTCTGGGATAGTCATTCCATTACTGCTTTGCTTTTTCCAGGATTATGTATTTTCCCAACTGGAATGAAATACTTGCAAACAGAATTGACCGAGAATAATTTGACCAGTTAATGTTACCTACACAGGCACATACCCAAACCTCAGTATGCTGAAGTTACAGTATGCAGTTTTAAAATGCAGGGTCACCTTTAACTTGTTCATGACTATCAATATAAAAGATGTTAGCTCATATAATCATACTATTGTTTTGCACATGCAGCTTGGAGAGGCAAAAAGAAAATGAGTGTATTTGTCAGCAGTACAGAATAATCTGCTCTTGATCAGCTTTGTCCTTTTCTTGCAGTCACAAGGACAGGGCATCTGTAGGCCACGTTTTAGAACTCTGCAGGCTACATTTGGTCTTTGGGCTGCATGTTGAGCAATCTTCACTTAAAACCTACAAGGCAATTACTTACAACATGCTCGAAGATGAGACCTTCCAATCTTGTAAGATTATTTGGTGGCTGCTGGTTGCACTCTCAAAACACAATCGCATCATTACATTCTTCTAAAACCCCAACTTAACTGCATTTATCCTATTTGATCATTGACCCATGAGAATCCTGCTTCATGGTCTTCATCCTGCTTCACAAAAAAAGGACAGCACTTCTAATTTGGTGTAAATAACTGTGAATGTGGAGGTGTGTTAAAGCACAACAGCAGTAAGTGGGCACAGATAGGGGCATATGTTGACCTTTTTGGAAGGAAAAGGTATTGATTTGCTTCTTTGTGTGACTGATACCTTTGTGGAAAAGAACAGGTGGCTATAAACACAAAGATATGTATGTGTGTCCATAGCTATAGTTAGTTTTTTTGAGAGAGTGTTCCTGTTGGGGTTATTGGAAAACCAACTGTGTATAAAGCCTCTCTGCTTTAATCGTTTATGCACTGCACTTGGGCTTATGTGATATGTACTCTCTATGCATTCATTGTGTACATCTAAGAAATACCTTTCCCAAGTAGAAATACAAAAACTTGACATGTTTGTAAGCGGTGGAGGGAGTATGTGTGTGTGTTTGTTTTTAGAAGTATTGGCAGTGCAATAGAAATTGTCAGTTTAGGATTCTACAGGGTTGCTTTTATGGGATGCTTCTTTTTATTTATGTCTTCTAGTTTGTGATATTAACACCAAAAAAGGTTTTGAAAAACTGGTAGTCAGTCTATATGGGAGATTGTTATTAACCAGAATCTGTTCTTATCAGCTTTTGCCGTTACAAAATCTGTTTTCGTATATGGAATTGAAAGAGTGCCTTCTCCCCAAGAGTGCACTTCAGCTACAGTTCAGAGCAATCAGATTGGTTCTACTGCAGTGCTTCTTTTTCCCCAGTCTTCAGCCGATGTTCCTGTTTTCCCCCTCCATAGATCCTCACAGTAAAAAAATTCAGAGAACAAGTGGCAGAAATCTAACCAGAGAATAAACTTCCCTCCTCCTTTTTGCAGAAAAATTCTGAATACTATGCATTTAAATACTTTGGTATTAAATGCTGCTTTTTATCTCTGACGATTTACAGTAGTAACTTACAAAAAAATGCAGTGTGGCGCATGTTTGCATTTAGCTTCCAATCTTTTCATGGCTATGCCTTCTCAGAATGTGTTTGTACTTAGTACAGCTGTACTTAGTACAGCTTAGTACATTGTACAACTTCAAAAAGTGCTGAACTAAGTCAGGAAATATTAATGATAAGATTGAGCATTCAGTTGTAACTCTTCCTCTTTGCATTGTTTACATTTAAAAAAAACCCTATAAATCTTAAGAACCTGCATTTAGATTGATCTCATCACATACTTTCTTAATATATACTAGTATGATACATCTGATCCTCTTGTCTGTGCATTCTGTGCAAATCCGTCTTCTCTGTGGCTGCTGGAGTTAAAAGAATTGACCTGAAGCCCTTCATGAATTAAGGGCCTGTTCCAGCCTCCTCGTTTATACCTGGGTAGTTGGTGGGAAGAAGTGGACATCTCAAAGTCAGTTCAGTCCCATGTTTCTTGGGCAGCTGTCTTTGATGAAGTGAAGTGCCCTCTGAGGGTGGCCCTCTCTGTTTATTGACCGTAAAAAAGAAAGCTGTATCTGGGATCAGATGCCTAGCAGGGATAAGAACAGAGTTAGGTGAGATGATCTGGAGAGTTAATGATCTGTTAGTTCAGTTACAGGGGAAAAGATAAAAGTGTTTTTGTAGAGGGAAAGGAGAGAGATAACCACTATAAAACATGAGTAACACATGACTGTAAAAATTAATGAAGTGGGGAGATGGGGGGGGTGTGTGTAAAAAATGTAATAGCTCAGCTTACTTTTCATTTTTGTTCAGAAATGCATTCAATTTTAAGATGTCATTGAAAGACTTTTTTGGTCCAATTATTTCCAAACACTCTGGTGCAAAGAAAAGAAAATAACTTTTTCCTTGAGGTTTAGGATGTTATTCATTCAGGCTTGAAGGTGTGGGAATCATCTACATAAGCCATTTACCTGTTGATCCCTTAAATAGTGCTTTTTACACGCATTATTGTGGCAAAGAAAAACTTGAATAAAACTGATCATTTGCTTCGTAACCAAAGTCAAACTATGGTTTAGATTTCTATAGCTGTGAATTACAGACAAAGAAACAGTCTAGTTGTCAATGGATTTCAGCAGAGGTCTCTTTAAATCTTTTCTTTTTCTCCCATAAAGAAACAACACAAATAGAAGATCCCAGGAAACAATGGAGGCAAGAACAAGAGAGAATGTTAAAAGATTATCTTATGGTAGCCCAGGATGCTCTCAGCACTCAGAAAGAACTGTACCAGGTGAAAGAACAGAGACTAGCACTTGCACTGGATGAGTATGTACGGTTGAATGGTGCCTACAAAGAAAAATCAAGCTCTCGTACAAGCTGTAAGTACAGTAGAGAATGCAATGTAGCTTCTTTGATCTATGCTTTGCAGGGGATCCTATTTCTCTTTAGGATGAATTTTCAAGGTTTGCTATGAACACCTTGTACTCTGACTTTTTTTAGAGATAGCATCCCTACTTTTTGTATTATTATTTAATATAAAGGTATTCTGCTGGAGAGAACCCTCTTCTATGTGATACAATTGAACTCTTTTGAGCCATGCTTTAGAGCAGTTGGCTCTGAAATCTGTTTTGTCATGCAGTTTGTGAGAACAAAATTCTTCCAAATCTAGGTTCAAAGTCAATAGGACCTCTTGCCTTCCCAGCTGCATACTGAAATGGCCCTACTGCCTGAGAGGTGTCTGCAGTAGACCAAGAGGGGAATTTGTTGGGTCTCTGTAAGAGCAGCATATAACAATTTTGTAGCTTGTGTGCTGTGATCAGGAGTGAAGTAGAGATACATGTTATAACGGTGGTCAAGGAACTGGCATTGCAGTAGACTGCTGTCAGAAGCTGATGGTCAAACATCTCTCGTAGAAGTTCATAGTGTGATAAAAGTAACATGTGCAGCTGTGAAAGAACTGAGTGGCCGACCTCTGAGGCTTCTGAATAAATCTTCTGCTTTCCAGAAATCTCCTTAGAAATTACAGCTTCCAGGAAGAGGTGATCACAAGATGGATCAGCTAGAAGAATAGGAACAGAAAGCAAGGGGTAGAAAGCCAGGGAGAATCAAGTACTTCTTTAGAATCCTGGGATAAGCAAAAGAGGAGAGATACCAAATAGTAGTAGGGGAAGAAGGGGGGAAATTTTGATTATTTATTAATTATTCCCATCCTGCAATGCTGACTACTTTATAAACAATATGTTTTGGTTGGTTAAGCGGTTTTTTAAGTATTACATGTTTTACTGCACTTCTTAGCTCAATGTGGATTCCTCAAGAAATAAACTATTTAATAATTCAAAAGTACTTAAATATTTGTCCTTTTTTGTCTTTTAAAAAAAGTGTTCTCAAGCTCCTCATCAAGCACAAAGTATGACCCTGACATTCTGAAGGCTGAAATCTCCACTACAAGATTAAGGGTGAGAGTACTTAATTCATATTCATTTGTATTCTGTGTGCAAAGTTTATGACTATAGAACAAGCAAAGCTTGAACTAGCAGACATATCTTATCCCCTTGTACTGAAACCTCTTAGTATTCTCATTAAATACCATTCAGAGGTTTTTAATTAACTTTTAAAGCTGTCTGTTACTTTCAGATAACACATTTTGGGCAAACTGGCAGATATTCTAATTAGATGTGGATTTAAATAAATCTGATAACTATTTTCATTTGTATGCTTTTGTTTTTGAGAGGAAGAATGAAAAGTCTGTGAGTGAAAATAGGAAAGTAGTAGGCCAACGTGAGCTGCAGCTACATGACTGTTTTTACACAGTCTTTCTTCTGTGAGAAATACACCATTAGCAACATGAACTGCCTCACAAATTTCTGTTGGTTTACAAACCACTTTCAATAATGGTGTGAAACTTTGCTCTGTTTTGTCAAAATGGAACACTTCAGAACAAGAATGAAATTTTGTTTGCGTTTTGAAATTACTGTCAAACAAATACCCATTATTTGGTCAACTGTGTTCAGTATGGTCACTACAGATTCCATATAAAGAACTTTCGTTCACAGATTAGTCTCTAGTGAATTTATTTTGAATAAGGAGGAAATGGTTTGGAAGACATTTAAAATCTATACAGGGAGTTAATTTATTTAAGCTGTGGCATGTAACGCTCTTTGGATAGCCTAGACTTTCTGTAATTAGTAATGAAAAAAATTAGACCAAACCATACAGGCTAAAAAGACAGCATCTCGCAGCATAGTCTTTGGTGACGCCTGCAATAGACTCAGGAGCGCAAGCGACAGCAGTTACTCAGCTCTTCCATTGCCCCCTTCTGGTTTCTGCAGAGAGCAGCACTCATAGGGGCCTCCAAGAGTAACATCCTCCTTCACCTAGAGTAAGAGTTATGATTAGGAGTCCAAACAATTAATGTTTAAAATGGATTGTGGGATAGCTCATTAACATTTAAAAATCCAGTATAAATCAGGGGTAGAACTCACTGTAAAACTGGCATCTGGGTATTGCCCTCCTGACTGCTTTTACACCTGTTCATTCTTACCATTATCAATTTGTAGTCCCTTATCCTTTAAGGACAAGGGAAGTGGTTGGTGAGAGAACTTATTCCAACACTGGAGGAGGTGGGAGGAAAAATCTGTAATTTTAGTAGGGAGAATCAGTAGCAGTTAGAACCCTGTCAGGAGTAAGAATGAAAAGACAAGGTGAGAGCTTCTTTCTAAAATGAGTGGAGCAGTAACAGATGTTCCCTTTGGCAAGGAGATCACTAGTATGTTTGGGAAATTTAACAGTGTTGTTAAAGAACAAAACACAGGACAAAATTTAAACACTGTCACCAACAAGTCAAAGAAGGGAAAATTCAGACCTGGTTCTGTGTTCAGTTTTTCTCATTTTTTAGCTCTGATCACTTCCTACCTCAAGATGCAGAAACACTGAATTGCCTCTTGGCTGCACAGTTACAATTTTGTTCACTGAGGAAAGAGGCAGATGTGTTAATCAAAGTAATTCATTTTTTAGGGATGCTTTCTTCTCTTCGTTATTTCTTGTAGTCAGAGAGCCTAATATCCTGCTGGTTCCCAAAACCTGATTTACTGGCATCGCAAAGTCCAAGTTGCATGTGTGCCTAAAATAGGTGACCTGAATCTTGTCTGCAGAGTGTAGGGGGGTGCAGTCAAAGAATATCTGTATCAGCATAAAGTGTGTTGTCATCCAAAGCCACTGGTTATGAAAGTCATTGAGATAAGAAAAAGTGGAGCCCTGTCATGCTAGGGCTGGAAAGTGGTTTTCATGGAAGTTGGCAAGAGAGGTATGGCTATTATAATAGTTTACCCTTATTTGAATATTTGAGGATGCTTGCTACTATGCCATCTTTTGGCATTTTACAGTATATGCATGCTTGGACGTAATGGGAAACGAAGTTAGTCATTAGTAAGCTGCTAGCCAGTTGGTTAGGATTTACCCATTGTTTAGTGAATTATTAGGCCAGATGTACTAAATCTGTTTCTCTCTCACTGGCTGAGGCTTACTGGTATCGTCAGGTTAATGGTGGCTGGAGGGGGGAAACTCAGCATTCAAGGAAGTTCTGAATTGACCTTTGGCCTTTTCCTTGTTAGCTGTGCTTAATATATGAATGGATACATGAAATGCCTATTGTGCACTAGGTCATGGAGAAAATATGACAGAAATCAGACATCTGTTAAAATAAGCAGGAGAAGATCTTTCCCCCAAGATTAAAACTGAAAGATCTGATCCTGCAATAGACTTTGAGCGGGACCGTTTGGGATCTTAGTTAGTAATCAGTAAGATAATTCAAACAACACAAAGCATATGTGATCACAGTATGTTTTATGTATATGCAGCACGTAGGGGGTGCACCTTTATAAAATAACAAGGGGAGGGGTTGTTGTTGTTCCATTAGTACTTAAGTGCCAGGAATAGAAGGGGGATAGCGGAGGACCATGCTTAAAGATGCTGTTAGAAGGAGGAAGTGAGAGGCCTGTTAGGTGATTTAAGATTATGTGCAGAGGCAGTAGGAAGGGGGTGAAGGATAAAACAAGTGGAGAGTTGTGAAAAAGCAGGAACTATATGAAAGATCTGAAGGAGAAGACAAGGAGCACAAGAGTAGTTTAATGCAAGTATGATGCAGTAAACACAAAGCCTGTATTACAGTGTAGGTCATGTCCTTCTAGGATAATGTGCCTACCTCACGTTTCTTGGTAATGAAATGATGATGAATCACAGCAGAGGACACTCAGAAGATGATCTTGAGGGTTTCTGTAAGGGTTTCCAAGAGATCCAGTCCTCTAAGTTGAAGTCAAGTATGCCTTCTACTATTACTATAAATTCACATTTCTGATTTTAAAGAAAAACTGTAACCATTCTTTGTTTCTCAGAAAAGTTGAGACTTCTTTCAAATTTTACACATTACCTGGAACACAGAGGTGATATCTCTTCATTTTCTATAACCTTGATCAGAACACTTGAGAGATTATTCTTGGGGGTTTTGTGCTAGTCAGGGAAAAAAACATTAAGGAGCTCTGGATCTGTACTTATTCTCTGTTTATCGTGCTAACTATTCAGTACAGTCAAAATAAAAACAGGTTTCTGTCAAGTAAAGCAACTAGTGATGTTAGTTTCTGAAAGCCCGAACCTAACCCTTCATTTAGAAAACAGATTTTGCTTTGGAGAAAATGGAGTTTAAAAGCATTTTATTCCTGTCACAAAAAACATTATCCAGAAGCTACAAACTTGAATGTCTATCATTCACAAACCCATACAAAGACCCCACAAATCACTGGTTATTTTAGACACACAAAGCATTTTAAGTCTCTTGGGAAGCTACAGCAGCTGCTGATGCTTAGCACTTTTACTCACCTGGCACGTTAGGAATATTATTATTATTATTATATTTTTTATTTGATGAACAGCAACAAGCAAGACATCTGAGGGGATTTGGGTATAAAAAGTCTTGAAGACAAGTTTTGAAATTGATTTCAGTTAAATTGGTCAAAATTCCTTTTTAATGGAACAGTTTAATAGAAACCTGTTTTCAGCAGAGTTGGGTATCTGAGGAACTGTATGAAAATCAGCAAGAATTTCAAAGCAGTAGGTGATAGCAGGGGACTTCCAGCCGGCTCGGCCTTTTTTCACCTTACTATTGGAAAGCTAAAATCCTAACAGTATCTGGCGAGAATGGAGAGTGCGAATCAGCCAGGTATAGATGCACAAAACCTGAAATTTGGGAGTCTGCATTTCAAGAAGGCATTTCTGCCTCTGTAATCCTATGCTGAGGATTAATTTTAATTTGTACTAAAGTACAGTCCTTAGTAGGTGGTCTAGAAACTTTGGCTTAGTATGTTTGGGAAGTATGACATGAAATGTTAAATAGAGGATTTTTTTATTTAATCTATATTCATAAATCTTTGGTGGTGTTCTCATATCTGCTAACATCTGAAATAACAATACGAAGAAGAAAAAGCCTATTGAGCATGCAGATTTAGGGAAAGCAGGGGTTCTTTTGCCAAAGACATTTTACTAAGTAGATTCCTATATTTGCAATCCAGATGTGTTTAGTGATTGTTGTCTTTGTATGAAATGGATGTGAACTACATATTTAGGGATCCAGTCTCGGTAAAGCTTTATCAAAAAGGATGGCTCATAGGAGAAAGGGAAAAAAAAAAATAGTCCAAACTTGGTCTTTTACAGTGCAAATGATGCAAGAGGCTCCTGGAATGAAAGGGTGAAAAAAATAAGCAGCCTAAAAATAAACAGGCATGTCCCTGTAGGACAGTTGGAATGCATGCTTAACAAGTGAGAAGTAAATTACTTGTTAAAGTTCTCTCAGGTTTAATAACACAGTGTGGTATTGATACAAATAAGGAATGTGATTTAATCTGCTTGTGTCCCTTTAATACTAAAACATGTTGCCCATAGACATCAGGAAGAGAGCCGATCCTTTTGTTTTTAATATGTGTCAGTAGAGCAATTTACTCTCTCTTTTTTTCTCATCTGATGTAGAGACTACATTAATTGTTCAAAGGCATGTGCTGAGTTGTTTAACAAGAGGAATGTTCTAATTCTTGCTTTGATTTAACACAAGGTTAAGAAGCTGAAGAGGGAACTCTCTCAGATGAAGCAGGAGCTGCTGTACAAGGAACAGGGTTTTGAAACACTGCAACAGTGAGTAAAAGAAAAGAGTTGAAACTGACTTAATTCAGTCGACCAGTTTCTTTCTTTCTTTTTTTTTATTTTTTTTTTTTTTTTGGCATGGAATTGAATCCATCTTATGTAAGACAATTACTGGGGAAAAATGAGAATCTAATAACTCGTGTTGTTGTTAGGAAGCAAGCAATCTGTGGAAATGGCAAACCTCTTGTGCAAGTGTTAACATGAGAAATCTGTTCCCCCTCCTATTTTTTTTTCCCCATGAAGTAGCTTGTGTTACGAAGAAGCAGAAAGAAAGGCAGTGGGAAAGGGTCCCAGAAAACAATTCAGCTGCTTTGCCTGTCCCATTTAAGCATTTTTTTTTATTTTTTTTTTTTTTTTACAAAATTGAAAAAGGTAGTTAGGAAATAAAGGTTTTTATTTCCTCCTTCCCAACTTCTGAGCTCAAAAGACAGTGAGGGGAAGGTGCTGTTCTTGGAGGTATAAAAGGTGTGCAACTGTGCAGGGTTTGAAATGAGTCACAATTTGAGAGTTAGAGACCTGACTCTTTGTTCCAGTTGCTGGGATGCCTGATATCCAAAGGGCTGATGCTGAACTGGGTGAGCATTCTGGGTATTTAACTAGTTGGATTATTAAGGGATGATTTTCTTCAGTATGAGCACTCCCTGCTGCTTCTGACTTACAAAGTTGGGCCCTAAAGTATTAAACATTACTGGAACTGTCACCACAGAGAACTTGCTGCAGAAGAAACCTCGCTAACAAACATGTTTTCTTGACTAATGTGAACAGAAATTTACTAATGCTAGTTACTTTCTGTATTGTGGTATGAACCTATACATTAAGGATACATTTGAACAGTAAAATGCTGAGCTGTGAGCTATTAGCTATGCTAGTTCCAGTAGCAGAAAGCAATGTTGTAGCATTAAAAGTAATATTGTCTGGATTCACTGACCTTCTTTCTGTGAATCTCCCCTATATGGCAGTGTGCTGTCAGATAAGTGATAATCTCTATGCTGTAGGGTTTACAGAATATAGGGAAAATGGAAAAAAGGTGGGAGAAGGGAAGTGCATTAGTTGTATTTCTGTCTTCCAGGTAAATAAAATGCAGAAGTGATTTGCAAAGGATGACAGAGTGTCTGTGATTGGGGTTCAGTGCCAAATTCTAAACAGAACATCTTGTGGGCTCTTGCTTGTGTGTTTTGATAGATCAGCAGGTTTTTATTTTTTTTTAAGTGGAAAGAAAGAATTCTGGTCCAGGAAATGGTCAGTCATAATTAGAGACCAGCCAAAATGGAGACAAACAGTTTCCTGGTATGAAGAGTTTGAAAGCGACTGGAATCTGAAAACCCCCAGCACCATAGGAGAATCCCACCCGACATCCTTGTCTCTAAATTGGAGAGCCATCAATTTGATAGGTGGACCACTCAGTGGATAAAGAACTGGCTGGATGGCCACACACAGAGTTGTGGTCAATGGCTCAATGTCCGGCTGGAGACCAGTAACGAGTGGTGTCCCTCAGGGATCGGTGTTGGGACCGGTCTTGTTTAACATCTTCGTCGCTGACATGGACCGTGGGATTGAGTGCGCCCTCAGCAAGTTTGACGATGACACCAAGCTGTTTGGCTTGGTTGATACGCTGGAGGGAAGGGATGCCATCCAGAGGGACCTTGACGCGCTTGTGAGGTGGGCTGATGCCAACCTCATGAAGTTTAACCACGACAAGTGCAAGGTCCTACACCTGGGTCGGAGCAATCCCAGGCACAGCTACAGGCTGGGCAGAGAAGAGATTCAGAGCAGCCCTGCGGAGAAGGACTTGGGGGTGCTGGTCGGTGAGAAATGAACATGAGCCGGCAGTGTGCGCTCACAGCCCAGAAAGCCAACCGTATCCTGGGCTGCTTCAAAAGGAGCATGACCAGCAGGTCGAAGGAGGTGATCCTGCCCCTTTATTCTGCTCTTGTGAGACCTCACCTGGAGTATTGTGTACAGTTCTGGTGTCCTCAACATAAAAAGGCTATGGAACTGTTGGAACAAGTCCAGAGGAGGGCCACGAGAATGATCAGGGGACTGGAGCACCTCCCATATGAAGATAGGCTGGGAAAGTTGGGGCTGTTCAGCCTGGAGAAGGCTGCATGGAGACATCATAGCAGCCTTCCAGTACCTGAAGGGGCCATATAGGGATGCTGGGGATGGATTCTTCATTAGGGACTGTAGTGACAGGACAAGGGGTAAGGGGTTAAAATTTAAAAAGGGGAAGTTTAGATTGGATATAAGGAGGAAATTCTTTACTGTAAGGGTGGTGAGGCGCTGGAATGGGTTGCCCAGGGAAGCTGTTATGCTCCGTCCCTGGCGGTGCTCAAGGCCAGGTTGGACAGAGCTTGGGTGAGAGGGTTTAGTGTGAGGTGTCCCTGCCCATGGCAGGGGGGTTGGAACTAGATGAACTTGAGGTCCTTCCCAACCCTAACTATTCTATGATTCTGTGATTCTATGCCAGTCAAGTCTCTATCCTCTTTCATTTTGACTGAAACAGAAATGCAAGATTTGTTTGTTATTTCAATATATAAACCCTCGTGAGGAGCATAGGGAGAAAAGGATAGTTGATTGAATTTATTTAACCATAAATCAGATTTCATTTGAAACAAAATTTAGAAGAAAAAAGGCACATTGATTCTAAAGCTTAAGGTAATAAAAACTCAGGCTGCTGTCCCAGGATTAAAGGTTAGCCAATCATGCTGGTTTTATTATATTAATTCAACAATGAAGTATTGTTTTAAAGCAGCTTGCTCACAAGCCATTTTGATAGGAATCCAAAGCATGTTTCAGAAACTGTCAACAGCATTCCACAGAAACACAATGGGCGTTTGTTTTTAAAATTCAGCCAGCCACCTTCAAACAGTACTAATCCCATTAATTTAAAACAGGATGATGGAATATCCTATATGTCGGAGATCTTTCTTGTCCATCTTAATTATAAACAGAATAAAGGAGTTGCAATTTGAATGTGCCACATCATATTACTAGGCAGCATGTGGTGTATTACATAACTTTTCATTCATGATCCCAATTATTGGACTGCCCAGTATCTATTTGACCTTAGCAACCTGATAAGTTACCAAAAATTGGGTGTTTTTAGATAGTAAGTGCCTACCTATGAAAGAGTTTGAGGAATTTTCAAGCTGAAACAAATACATCCTTGAATACAAATGAGTACTGGCTCACATAGGCAATTTTCTTAGACAAATGCAGTTCTAGTTTGTACAAAACCTGAAATTTGAAGAAAGGAAAGCAGAGATGCTCACAGCCTTAAAGACTGCTTCAGAACCATTATATCTTTGTGCATGAAACTGGAAAAAAGTAGAATACAGTTACAGGTGTTTTGTGCAAGTTGATGTTCTTGCAGGGGATGCTCAAGTTCACGTCAGATCATTGAAATGTTTGCTCATTCCTCGCTCACAAGGTTAATGTCTTCCAGCAAAGATGATGGATGGTGATAAAAACAGACAACCAGTTGCATTATGAAAAAATGTTCCCTACTAAATGCTTGACTTTTGTGAAGATGGTTGTTGGTATTAATTTTGTGAAGCACAGCTGCAGTCATTTCTGCGATGCTATGAAGTACTCAGTTAAACTAGAGATCAGAGAAATGTGTTTACAAACTGCAGTTCTTGAAGTAAATATGGAAATACTAAAATGAAATATCTTTTTATCTCAAAGTTTAGAGGCTTTTTTGTTTCGTTATTTTCAAGTTACAGTTTTTAAAGTCATTGATAGTCCAGGAATTTAATGAATTGCCCGATCTATGACATATGGTGTTAATTATCCAGAGATTTTGTGAATAAAGAGAGCCTGGTGTGACTGGCTGAGTAGAACAGCTGTTTCAGGCAGTTAATGCCTGGGATTAGGGTGAACCAGAGGGAAGCTGAGACAGGAATGGTGCTGGTTACATTTCTGTTCTGCAAGGCTGATTAGTGACAAGAAGCTTGCCCATCTGCCCTGTCATGGTGTGGGTATGGATAGAGGAATACTGCTACTAAAAAATTCTGCTGCTGTAAGGATTGCAGTTAATAGTATGAAAAGTGTGCCCAAAAGCTATTCCTGTTCTGCAGAGTTATGATGGGGATGGGCATTTTGACAGCATTGTCAGCAATAATGCTATGCTCCTGGTAGCATGTATAGGAGTTTTCAGTGCTCTGTGCCCCTTATGTCTTTGAGACTAGATCAACTAGAATTGATTGTTGAGTAAGGCCCCAGTATTTTCGCTGAGGTAGTTTTAAAGCCAAGAGAGGTATTTTTCCATTGAATATCTGATGTCAGCAAAAGCCATTCACTGGGCATTGTGTCTATGTTAGATAGCTTGACATTTTTGCCAAGGATTAAGGATTTTAGTGGAGACTTCAATGTCCTTTTTCCTCTTTGCGTGTCTGTTACAGGAAATGGTGTCTTTTATCTCCTTCCCTTCTGTTCTCTAACTATGCTTCTGCCTGAAGCAGAACAGTAGAGATGTTAGTATTACTTTCTGTATCTGGTATTAATATTCTCTCTTTCCACAGAATTGACCAAAAAATGTCTGGAGGCCAGAGTGGGTATGAACTGTGTGAGGCCAAAGCCATCCTGAGTGAACTGAAGTCCATCAGAAAGGCTATAAGCTCAGGGGAGAGAGAAAAACAAGATTTAATGAAGGTATTTTGAACGGCTGATGTACGTTTTGTGTGGATTTGGTTTAACATGACTTGCTTTCCTGATGATAAATACTTTGCAATCTATACTTCTCAAGGGATTCTCGAAATTCTTTGAGCCATACTAGTATTAAAATGAATTTTCAGAGTGAAGCCTGTGACGTTTCTAGTTCAAAAAAACAGTCAGAGAATGAAAACTGAGACACACAAAGTAGCTTTTACATTGTCACAGATGTTGGTCTCCCTTAGTGTCACCTACCAACTGCTTGATTAAAAGGATAGTTTAATAGTAAATAAACCCAAAATTTTAATATTTTCATTTCCCATGTAAACATCTTTTGAAGGTACACTGGTTTAAACACAATAAAGTGCAAAGGAACTTTAACACCACCTCCTCTTCTGTTTCCTGGACAGAGTCTTGCAAAGCTGAGAGAGAAATTCAATCTTGACCAGACCATCAGGACATCAGAACCAGATTTGAGTTCCAGCTCTGTAAACTCCCAGCTGTGTTTTCCCAGACAAACTCTGGATACAGGGTCTCAGACTGACATTTCTGGTGAGGTGAGCTTTTTTCAATCTTATCAAATGTAAAGACAAATTGAATCAAAATGCTGCAGTTAATGTAATTGGAATTAAATGGTTGTTTGCTATTGCTGATAGGTGTGTGTGTGTGTATACACACACACACACACACACACACACAGAGGTTTGAGAGAATTAATTGGAATCACTTATCTGTTTTTTCCCCTCTTTAAATTTTAAATGAAGATGAACTTACACGTTTGGCATGAAGAATTTATGACAGTCTGATTTAATCAAATAGTTGCAGTACAGTGAAGATCAGCATAAACAGATAGCATTTTTTGATTTGTCTATAGGGTACGTTTCACCTGACAGGCTTAATTCAACATGAAGGTGCTTTTAATTTTCAGAAACAAGATCTCAGAATTTAAATGTATGATTTCATTTCATGCAGCTGAAAAACTGTCAGTGGAACTACTTGTTCAGTAATTCATTAAAACCTTCTGTTTCATTGGCTGTATTTTACGTATACAGAAATCTGTGCTTTAGTTTTGTACCTTCTTTGAAGTTCTGTGAGCTGAGGTTATAAGGAAAAGACTGTACAAGGTTTTCCAAACAAAGAGCTAAGCTATGTTCTATTGCAAGTTTATTGAAATCTTTGACTGACTGAGTTCTAAAGTAGATCAAAATCTTAGGTGTGAGCACTGTGAGACTTGTTGGAAAATGCTTTTGCTTTACCCCAATGTAATATGGACAATTGGTAATACAGAGTTAAAAATAGATGAACTGGATCAGAAGAAAACAGCACTGTTTTGTACATCTGAGTAGATTCCTAACTAGGCATTTAACAGCAAGTGTGTGGCTGCAGGTGGGTGTGGTTGTAGTCTTTCAACTAACAATTTTTCTAGCTTGTGCATAGGTGGTGTTGATTCGTTTAACAGCTTTACACATTAATAAGGCTGTTTCTTTTTTCAACAGGTTGGAGCAAGAAATAAATCAAATTTAGCAGAGAAGGTCAGACTAAGTCTTCAATATGAAGAGGCAAAAAGAAGGTAATAGGGTTAGCTGCTTTGTTAAGATACAACCTTGAAGCCATCTCTGCAGCACATTGTGCTCGCAGTGACATCTAGTGGGCTGCTCTCCTGAGGCAAGTGTGCATCACTGCAAAGTGCTTCTTTCCCTTCAGAATGCGCAGACTTTCAGAAGCAGTTGGCGCTTTTGAAAAGTAGGTCTACATTTAATGCTAAGTTGAATGTATTAAGAAATAAAATAAAGACGGTGACAAATTAATATCAGTTCCAGGATTAAGGGAATAGAGCGAGGTAGATTTCCACTGAAAGGAGTCACTAGGTTATTTATGCCCATTTTATGCTGCTTTGGGATCATCCTTTCAGTTTACTATGCCACTGAAGGTTCTTCAGCTTTAGAGTTGCTTCAGACTTCCAGTGCAGATTTAGTGTGCTTAATTATATCTTTTTTCCCTAGGACTTTTCATAATTTACATACCTTGTTATCCCTATGGAGTCTATTTTTTTTTAGTGGGTTTAACCTGCGGAGAAAAGAAATCAGGAACGGCTCCACTGATGAATGTGGAATGCCTTTCAAGTAAAGTTCTGCAGGGGCTGCTCATGAAAGGAGGGCCATTTTGATGAATTGCCACAGCACTGAAGAATGGGCATCAGAAAGCAGAACATTCAGGGTTAGAATGACATGTCTTCTGGTGCACCAGAAGTGCTGCATAATACTGGGAGAAGATTTACTATTAAAAAAAAAATAATTGTGTGTGTGTAGTATCTTTCTCTTAACAATGTATTAATTAATGCCATATTATTTTTCTAATACTTTTCACAAAATCAGGTGTCAGCTATTCAGAAACATTATGGTTTTTGTTATGGAGTTTCTAATTTAAAGGGAATAGAAATCTAAAACCTTAAGCCATACCCAAAGTTATTTTTTCACTCTAAAGAACTAAAGAAGGCAATACAATAAAAAACAGCACTCTTTTTCCAGGTTAAAAATGTGCTTAAAATGTCATTTAATCTGCATGGTCAAGTAGAAAACCGGGAAAATAAACTTGCAGCTTTTAAGTAGCAAGTAAAGGCATAATTAGTTTTATGTTTTAAAGGCAGAAGGCTGCACAATCTACTGGGGGGTTTTGCCTAATTTCAAACATATACCCTCCTCATCCTGAGTAGCATCTACCATCCTTGCTGGTAACAACAGTCATTCTTTATATCCCTATTGAGATATATGATGGAATTCTTTGATGAATGCATTGATTGTATCATAGTGCTAAGGCTGTTGTGCTTATTCAGTATTGAACATGTATGATATTGGCTCAGAATCATTATGTACACAACTGTAATTGTCAGATAGTGATGTGGATAGATGATATTTCTTTTAAGGCATGATTGATCCAGATTATTCTTGGTATCAAGACACAGCAAAAACAGAGAAGTCCTAGCATTGTGGTTTATCTCACTTTTTCAACCAAAAAAACTCCTGGCAGTAAGTCAGTTAACCACTTCTACCTGAAAAATAGAAAGAGATAAAGAGAAAAGAAAACCAGTTCAGGGTATGAGTACTGCAGCATAAGATCTTGCTGCCTCACAAATTAGTCATCCAAGAATGTGGGTCAAAATTTCAGTAGTTCATTCGTTTACCTTTGCATAACTAAGTATTTGTTCTATATAACATTAGTGTGTTTCAAGGTTAAATTATCTCCTTTAAATTAGTATATTTATGTAGTTTTATCTGAAAACTGCCTAGTAATGAATATTCTTTTCAGCTTTAAATAAGAGAATTGTATGTCTTGAAGACACTGTTAAAGTCTTTAAAGTGTTTGCACATACTGGTTTTATCAGTGACTACTGGGTGAACTTAATAAAATTTACATATCTTGAACTAATGAAGTTACATACCAATTTGCACATAAAGTTCAGTATCTAATTAGACCCCTCTGAAGTACTATGGCCATTGTAATCATCACTATAATTCTTTTCTGAAATATTAAACATGAAAATACTTAGTTGTTCTGTGTTAAAATAACTAAGAGGGGATCATGTAAGTGAACATCTCTACTTGAAAATGATAATTTCATCTATTGCATATGTTATGTTGCTTAGCCAGCAGAATGTCTTGAAGGGGTGGAATGTTGATGTTAACTATACTTAGTTCATTTGCAGTTGTTATTCAAAAGGATCCAATACAGCATGCTTACAATCCTGTCTTGATGTGATGAATATTTGGGTAATGTTCCTTGTTGACCTGTAACGCAAGGACTTCCTTAAGAGTGAGACCAGTTCAGTTTTCTTGTCCATCCAGTCTTTTGCCTGTGAGGCAGATGAAAAGAGTCCGTTATGGTAGCAGAGGGTTGTCTACAACACAGGAGCAAGGGAACTATTTGGATACGACCATTGCATCCCACAGGCCATCTAACAGCTGTCAGTAGCAGGTACTTTCAGAACAAAATTAGCTAGAACCAGTGACTTGGAGGTGAAAGTCTTAACGTTTCATTATCCATCTGAAATTACTCGGTTGTTTTCCCTTTGAGTACTGCTCTTCTAAGGGACTGTGGAATATATGTGATATACGTGAGAGCTGCAAAATATGTTGAAATGCTTAATTTCATTTCATCCCACCATTTGGTTATGGCAGCACTGCTAGTATTTCTGTTTACTTTACATTGTGTTTTTTTTCTGTGAAAATACCCTGAGTAAAACTTGTTCTTGCAGGGGTTTGGTGGGAAGATGAGTTGTTCAGCTTCTAGTATAAGCAATGGGGTAGTTAGATTCATCATTAACTATTCTTAGCTTTGCCCATAAATGAATGCCTTAATGTACTGTAAAATTAAAACTGGAGATGCAAAATAAGCATGATATTGTTAGTTTTCTTAATCACAGAAAACAAACTGGAAAGAAGAAAACGTTTTCCCAGAGATCTGTCAAAACTGCAGAAAGATTATACATACCAAATTATCTCTGTGTGTGTTTATGAAATGGGTCATTACCTTAAGTAGTGCCTGCTAATATTGAAGTTGCACAGACTTGTATCAGTTGTTGAGCTGATGTAGGGTAACTATGGCAGCTACAGATAAAAGTAACAGATAAGTTCCTCTTGCCCTAGATTGTATGGGAATATCTTTCTGCTTTAACTTCTTCTTTCTCTGCCTTTTTCCAGCCTACAAGAAAGAGGTGCAGAAGGCACCTGTTACATAGTTCAGAGCTTCCATATCTTCAGCTGTTACATAGTTCAGAGCTTCCATACCTTCAGCTGCGCAGCTGGTTCAGGTGTGGCTAAGGCTGGAAGTGACTGCAAGTTATTAGTCCTATTAGATAATGTGGCACGTATAACAGGAATTTTTAGACTTTCCTAGGGGACAGTGAGTCTTTATTGCAAGACCTGCACTTCTTAAGCTATGCTGCTGAGCCCATAGACAGAATGGTTCTGAAGGCTGAACACTGGAAATAACCTGTCTTGATCAGGACTGAGCTATAGTACAATAGTAATGTAGGGAGGTTTCTGATTCCATTATAAGCGTGTGTTCACAGAACATGTACGGCTAACCAAGTCTTGGGTGTCTTAACCCTGATTTGACATCTGCAATGGGAACAGCAGTTGCACAAACTCAAAATTTTGAGTAAATAATCTCCTTTCTCTTTAGGTAGGTGCTGTCCAATTACCTTTTAACTTAATCACATAGAAGACCAATGCTTTTGCCTGTTAAATTTTGCATTCATGCATGCTGAAGTATCTTTCTGTGGTGCATTCTTTCACCATGGTAGTTGCTGTTTGTGAGGAGCAAGGCAGCCTCCAACAGCAGAGGAGAATTCCATCATGTTCTTCAGTAAGTAAAGCAGAGTGCCACTACCATGTTACCAGACAGATCGCTTTCAAGAGAGCTTTTATTTACGTTGTGACTTCTACTCAAACTTGGCAATGGAACGCAGGAGCAGCTCATTTTTAATGCGTATGCATGTTGCTGTTGGCCTGGATAGGTGTCTTGTTTTTCTGGTGAAGTCTGCATTCTTTGAAGTGAAACTAAATGTATGGCTTTGAGCAGAAAATGTTGTTATATCCTGCCAGCTTTCAAAACACTGTATCACTTATCTTGTTTCTGGGACTTGTGAACTGTGCTGTGCTCAGACAAATCTGCTCTGTTTTATTTTAGCATGGCTAACTTGAAGATTGAACTCTCTAAGCTAGATAGTGAAGCTTGGCCTGGGGCACTGGATGTGGAAAAGGAAAAACTGATGTTAATCAATGAAAAAGAAGAGCTTTTAAAGGAACTCCAGTTTATTACACCATGCAAACGTACTCAAGATGAGCTAGAGCAGCTAGAAGCAGAAAGGAAAAGGCTTGAAGAAGAGCTGCTCTCTGTAAAAAGCACTCCCAGTCAAGCACTTGCTGAGAGGTAAGGAGTTGGTTTTTTCTAATATTAAATGCTGCCTTCTGCAGTCTAACCTTTGTACTCAGTGCAGACCCTGAACTATGCCTTGATGGGCTGTTTTCCTTCAGTAACTGTTCTATGTAGATCTTAATTAAATTTGTTATTAGCCCACTGGGCAGAAACACAAAGAAGTCTTCTGTACTATGAGAGAATGTGAACACCCTGTATGCGCTCTGCAATATCAGTTGCTCTGTGTTTGTTACCAGCATGAAAATGCCTGTGACAGATGTTAAATAAGTGAGGAATGTCAACATACCAGCAGGAGGGCAATACATCATTTACTTGTTTCTGATAATAGCTGTAAACTATTTGGACTCAGGTTACAAAGATTATCTTGATCGTTGCAACATCTGAAGCATTTCATTGGGAGTTTTATTACGTACAAATATGGAGCCAGAGGAGGGGAATGGAGTAGTTCAGAGAAGGATAATTGCTGCAAAACTTCACTAACTTGCTGCTACCTAACTGGTAACTGAAGCGACTCCCACAATAAATTGTTTTAGCCAGATTCAGAGTTTGAGAAAATCAAAGGTGACTGTCACAAATAGACTCTTCATCAGCTGTAAGTGGAAATAAATTTATGGGCACCTCTAGCTCACATAAAATGCAATAAACGCAAATGTCATTGTGTGTTTCAGTGTAGTATGCTTTATTGAAATAATACAATCAGCACAGTAAGCCTTTCATACTTCCCTCTGCTAAGAAACACCTGCTGTTGTTCCAGTTTCACTGAACAGTGACATTCCTGTTAGTGGCATTAGATGATGGGTCGTAAACTGTAGCTGAGCAGTGAGGAAATCTTTGGTTTACAAAGTACGAATGTGTATATTACATGTGAGTTTTAGACATATTTATACACTTCCTAATAGTTCAAACTGCAGTATGTAATCCAAGCATGTTTTAGAGGGATTATGTCCTGCTAGAACCATATTTTTACAGGAGACGTGTTAGTAGTATCTGAATTACTGTGAAACTGTTGCTTTCTGACATCCATTAATAAATGGAGAATAAGGGATCAATAATAAAATCACATTCACAAATAAGTAATGCAAATCTCAGATTTTGCTAATATGCCATTGTAAGTAAGAGCCAAGTCTTGACTCGTGATGTAAATAGGTAGCTGGTTTCTTAGTCTTGTGTTTTGGATTTGCTTGTTTAGTGCCAAAGAAAATCCTGCATCTGACCATTTTCTCATATGTGTCTGATGCCAAACTGGAAGTACCAAGGGCAAGTAAAATTGTCTCATTGTCAGGATGAAATGAAACAGCAGGCTTTTTTCCTCATGTATAGTGACACAAGTAGTTGCTAGAGCTTACTTCTTTTCACTCTTATTTTCTTCAAATTTTTCTCCATTGGATTTTTATTCCTGAAAATGTGGATTTATTTATTTTTTTGGCTCTCTAAGGTTGCTGTAAGATTTCATGTTATACACTGCCAGTTGAGGTGGCATGTATGGTGGCTTCTGGTTTGCTTTTTTACTATTCCAGTGAATCTCCAGTTAATTTCTACCAGCAATTGTTCAGGGTATTAAAGCTGTCTCCCTTAATGACTTCAGAGCGCATCAAGGCTTTTACACCATGCTGTTTTGAGGATTATTTCTGGTGTGTCTGCTATGAACATAAAGAAAATCTTCATTTTGTAGGACTCAGATGCTAAAACTTTTCCTGAACTGTTAATTGGAGAAAAGGATACATTTAATTGTTATCAGGTCAGCCCTCAGAATTTTGTTTCTTGGAGATAAGGAAGGTTCTTCTCTCCACTGTCAGTGGAGGAACCATGCCATCTTCAAAGTGCTGCACTGTTGTTGCATTACTGCTTTCTTTCATGAGGTTTCATGAACGCCTTAGGTTTACAGTGTTCAATATATCCAGTGTTTTCACTGGATAATGAATTTGATAATGAAGCAACAGTGGAAGAAGCCATGGAATGTGTCAGACAGAGCATGATGTGACGAAGGCTGTCTGGGTTGGGATTTGTTTCTTTTTATTTTCTTTTTTTCCTTCAGGGGGAAGGAACAGAAGACTTGCTCTGACTTAAAACAAAAGTGTTAGATCATTGCCTGGGGTTATTTTGGAGCAGGATGCTGGAATTGCCACTGGTAGATGTACACAGAATCAATTTTAGAGAAGGAGGATGTAGATCATAAGATACCAGCTTCAGAAAATCAGAGGCAGTGCATACTCTGACTGCTTTAAGAAACCTTCCAGTAACTAAATCAAAATAACAAGATTGTGGAAAACTTGCTACTTGCTTGCCTTTGGGTTCCCTCATGTGAGGGGGATTCTGTTACTGCCTCAGTCCTTGGCAAAACCTTCTAAGCAATCACAGACATTTAAACAGATGTGTGACATAACTACTTGATTATGCTCTTTCCTGCAAAACTGGCCCCTGCTCTTGTGCCTGTCATAAGCACGTCCACATAAGTTTGCATTGAAAGGTGAAGTATCTGCTCTTCACCTTTTTAATGTATTTTTTTAAGACTCTGAGTCCCTCTCGGCAATGTTACAATTTGAGATCAAAACTGGAGAAAAATGTCTTGATCCCACAACAAGTAATAGGTTAATTTAGATAGGAGGGGTGCAAAGAGGAGAGATTGAGAGAGGCCCATGTCAGAATAGGTAACATGATGGTTATTCAGGTATTTACGTGGTTTTGGGGATATTAAAGTTCCTGCTTATTCTGTAAAGAGGGAAATTCGTTGTTTGAAAGTTTTGAAGGGTGCTTTGTTGGCTTTGGCTTCGGGGGGTTTTATCTCCCAGTTTTGACTAGTGTAGATTAAAAACAAAAAAATAATTCCTTGAATCTCAATTTGTTGTGAAATACAAAATTATTCACTATGTGTCTTGGAACTTCCAGGAGTGATTTCATCATCCAGCTTGTGTTTGTAATGTGTGACTAACACCTCTGTGAAATTTACCTACAGGTATTAATACTACTGCTTTAATTACTAGTAGATCAAACTACATCCAGGAAGGAGTTTTTTAGGAGCTGAACTATATGGGATAAAATACGTTTTATCACGCTCCTCAAGATAATAAAGGGAAATAAACGTTTGGCTCTGCTTTGGAGGAAAAGAAAAAAATAAACAAACAAGCCCCAAACAAAAAAAAAAAAAATCAAACCTTTTAGTGTAATAGTACAAATTCAGTAGAAAAACTACAGGTTTTGAGGGCTCCATTTAGAAAAGTTTCTAAGCTTTTAGTTTTCTTCCTTGCCTTTATCCATGAGTAGTTGAACACTTAAAGCAATCTTCGTGCCTCTTCCTTGAAGATAAAAGTGATATTTCAGTATTGAAAAGCCACTAAAGAGCTACTGAAGAGCACTCTTGCTTGGGAAAAGCAGGATAGATTAGGCTTTAAAAGAAGACACAAGGCACTGATAAATAGTAAAATGGTAGGAGAGAGTATCCGATAGCATAATTCTTGGTTTGGAAACCCCTGTGTATGCCTTCCCAAGCAAATAATGAAACACCATGTATGCTTTTAACAGTCCTAGCAGGTACTGGCAGATGAACACATTATTGCGGTGTAAGAGCACACACAGCATGGGCAGTGGAGTGGAAGTTCACACCCTGGCTGACCTCGGAGTAACTTATTCACCTTTGCATAACCCAGATTCACTGGCTGAATAAGCATGGGTGTAAGCAAGTGCTTTTCATGCTTTGCTGAATTGAGGACTTAATGTCTTTTTACTGGTATCTGACACTCAAAAGAGAATGAATTCTGGGAACTCTCAAGTATTTAATTCACTTTGCATAAGAAAGCAATGGTTGATTTTGGGGTTTTGTTCTTTGAAGTGTTCTCTGTATCTGAATTTTAATTTACACATCCTTGAGATGCCAGGAGGCCAAAGGAATGGTTTCTAAGAATGGACAGCCACTTGGGTTTTTTTTTTTTAAAGAGGGGATGCAGTTTCTTGTCTCTCAGATTAGTTGCTTGAGAACTTGTGACATGTATCAGTTGACTGAGCAAGGGCTAGAGGAGAATGTACTAATCCACAACTACAGGAGAGTTTTAGCTGAATCCACTGAGGGAAAGCAATTTATTTGGTGTTGTAAATGGAGTGATAAAAGGGAATTATAAAAAGAAAAAAATCACTGTAAAACTTAGTGAATCCTTTCTGCTAGCAGCCAGCTAAAAGGAATGGGAGATTCCATAATTTGTGGGTTTAGAGCTGCGCTGGGTAATGGTCAATAAATCCTGCTTTTTTATAAAGGTGAACCTTGATACTGAGCATCACAATGCTGTGTGCCTCTGAGGTGGTGACAGAGCTGTTGGGATGTAGAAATCTTTACCAAGGACTCCTATATCATAGAATGAATCATCGAATGGTTTGGATTGGAAGGGATCTTAAAGATCATCTAGTTCTAATTCCCACCACCATGTCACGGACACCTTCCACTAGACCAGGTTGCTCCAAGCCCCATGCAACCTGGCCTTGAACACTGCCATGGATGGGACATCCACAGCCTCTCTGGGCAACCTGTTGCAGTGCCTCACTACTCTCACAGTAAAGAATGTCTTTCTAATATCTAATCTAAATCTCCTCTCTTTCAGTTTAAAGCCATTCTCCCTTGTCCTGTCACTACATGCATTTGTAAAAAGTCCCTCTCTAGATTTCCTGTAGGCACCCTTTAGGTACTGGAAGCTGCTCTAAGGTCTCCCTAGAGCTGCCTTTTCTCCAGGTTGAACAACCCCACCTCTCTCAGCCTGCCTCCAGAGCACAGGTGCTTCAGCCCTCTGAACATCTTCATGACCTCCTGTGGACTCGCTTGAGCAGTTCCGCATACCTCTTGTGGTGAGAGCCCCAGAGCTGAATGCAGTACTGCATGTGGGGTCTCAGCTCGAGATGTGATCTTATCATCTCAGAACCTTACATTTTAATGCTGCTTTGATTTACTGTCTCTATATGAAGACTCTGAAATCAAATGGAGTGCTTTACTTGTAAATTTCTGCAATGCTGCCTCAAGCTCTTGCATCATCAGGGCTAATATTGGTATTAGTGCTCCTTTGTTTTTTTTTTCTGAAACCTTATGAAGTGAGGAGCCAGCCTAGAGCAGGGCTTTTAAAACTCTGTTAGCGCAGATCTTATTGTCCTGAAGTTGCAGCTATTTTCCCCGTGCTCATCTGCTACTTTTTTATTGGGTGCACATTCCCCTTGGTACAATGTGAATGTACCAACACTCTGCTTGTCTGCACACTCAGCAGGTTCATTACAGTACTTAGTATTCTGCAGGTTAAGTCACTCTGCTGGAGTGGTTAGAGTTTTACGATAGGACTGAGAGCTAACACAGTCTCTTGGATTTTAGTAGTTGGCAACCAGATGAAAACACTTTGTTTCTGTCTTACCTGTAAAGTATTTTAGCCTCCAGATTATTTTGCAGTGCTTACCTGTGCTTACTCTCTTTCCAGATTGAAACTGGAGGAGAGAAGAAAAGAGCTGGTACAGAAACTTGAAGAAACTACAAAGTTAACTACCTATTTGCATTCACAACTTAGGAGGTGAGCCCATACTGCATAATGTTAAACCTGTTTAGAGCAACAATCTAGTGGACCTGAATGCCTCAACTTCATTCTTAGGTTTTTGTCTTAGCTGGAGGCTGAACAAAATTTGTTTAAGTAAGAAAATGCAAATGTAATAGCTTCAAGCATTTTGCCACCATGAAAACCTTACATACCTTTATAATTTCAGTAAGCAGTCCAGACTGGAGTGAATGGATTTGCTGCATAGCCTCCATAGTTAGACAGGCAGACATTATTTTGCTTCAGTGTAAATAAATCAGGAATTGTCTAATTGGTTGTATCTTCAAATTCTGTCATTGAGGAGACCAAATGGTTTCTCAGAGTTCTATCTAAAATCAATTATTAGAACTGTATTGTTTATTCTATGTAATAACTGGAGAGACTTAATGAGTACATGTATGCATGTAAATACATGAATAGTTGATTCTGGTTTTGTTCTTCAACACTGACTTTCTGTAGGCAGAAATGTATCCTCAGCAGGATTATTTTTCCCTGACAGTTATTGATTCAAAATCTGACTTTGGGTTTATGAAATTCATAGTGATAACAAAAATGTGATTGGTTACAGCAACTGTGAACTCAAACTCATTGCCCTCATGGGAATATTTAATGATGTATACAACTAGTCCGAGGAAAGAGTTTCTCTCACTTCTGGACTGTTACCCTGGGCTACCAAACTATGTGCCCACTATATTTATTTAGGAAATCCTGAATTTTTTTGCATATCCCGATGGGATACACCAATCGGACACTGCAGTAATGAATGTATTCTCTTAGAAATCAACCTGGGGCGTTAAGAGGAAAAGGTCCTCTCACAATAAGACGTACCTTCCTATTCCTGGGATCTGGGCTGGCTTAGCTATTTCAGACATCTCAGCCAGAGCCCATATATTGCATTTTGATTGGTGACTAGTTATGGAAAGAGTATTTTAACTATTTTTAAAGTATTTTGTGCTCTTGTTTGGACGCTGGGAAGTCTCTCTGTGCTGTGTTCTAGCCCAGAGGCAAAAATATTTAAAGTCGCTAGCTCTGTTACTGTTCAGTGAACATCTTTGAAGTGTTTAGAAGGGGTTGCCTTGCATTATTTTCCTGACGTTATTTCCCAGCAGAGTCCTACTGAGCCAATGCAGTGACACACAGTTTCTCTGGCCTAGCAAGGCTCCTTATTTTTTGTTATTAACAGAAGACTGCATGTTATGGCCTATGGCCTTTGCCACGCTTATGTAATTGGATTTGCTGTACATGTAGAGTGTGTGTTGTATTATATGTGTGAAGCAGCTCTCCTGTAAGTTGTCTCCTTTTAGCTGCCACCTTTCTCAGGTGCTTGGGCAGAGGGCAGGCTGCATAGATTGCTCTAGAGGTGGCAGCACTCCTTTGCTGCCATAACGTCCTTCCTGGGGCTCCCTTTCCTGCCACATTGATCCCATGAGCACCCACACCGGAGTTGAGCAGGTCTTTGAGCAAATACAACAGCTGAGAAGGCTGCGGTTACTGCTGGACCAGTTTGTAAAACCTGCAGCCTTTTGCAGAGAACAAAGGGCTTTGGCAACTTGCCATAACCTGGACAAACTGCCCTGGTAGCATGCAGGTTGGGCACGCTGATCTAAGCCAAGTATGGCTGCTTAGAAACCATAATGCCCTGAGCACCATTCAGTTGTAAGCAGTTACACAGCAGCTCCAGTCATTGTTACCTCTCCTTGTTCCATTTTGTGCTGGTTGACTTTAGTAACGTCAGTGTCCATGTTTGTGCTTTCTTCACAGCCTCTCAGCTAGTACGTTGTCTGTGTCTTCAGGGAGCAGTTTGGGATCTCTGGCGTCCAGCCGGGGATCTCTGAACACGTCAAGCAGAGGGTCGCTAAACTCACTCAGCTCCACAGATCTCTACTATAACCAAGGCGATCAAATAACAGATTTGGACTATCAGTATAAACTTGACTTTATATTGCAAGAAAAAAGTGGTTACATTCCTTTGGGGCCTATCACTACTATTCATGAAAACGAAGTGGTCAGTTCCCATGGGAGACTGGGCTACAGTGACTCTCCTTCTACTGCAGACCATCCCAAACTGAGTGAACCTCCCAAATCTGTGACATCGCTTTCTTCAAGATCCTCACTCTCCTCCTTGTCCCCTCCAGGCTCCCCATTGGTTTTAGAAGCTGCGTTTTCCATGTCAGCTCAAAATTCCCCTCTGCATCACCTCACCGTGGACTTTGAGGACTGTGACCTTTCGGGTGATTTTGCAGGCATTAATCTCTGTGAGAACCAAATATTACTGGACTCTGAAGCCAGATTGGGATCTCAGATTCGTACAGATGATAAAGACCTTAATGAAGGCGTTAGACAGCCTCTGCCTTCTCTACATGAAGGAAGTTCAGGTAATAAAAAAGCCTAATGCCAAATGTGTATGTAACATGAAAATTTTGAAACAAAGGCTGGCCCTTGAGTGGAGAGGTACCTCATGTCACTGAAGAGTGTCTTGTTAGCACACATTTGCCATGGTGGACAGTCAGTAGTTCTGAGGGACCTTCATAATGTCTAGCTTTGGGTGCAGATTGCTACAGTCAGTCTGATTCCTCTACGTTTTTCAGTAGCTGTCTCAGAAGGAAAGTTCGTGTATTGCAGACTCTGTCATGAAAAAATAGCTGAAAACCCTGAAGCTGGATCTTGAAGACACAGAGGATGCATGGTGTTCCTAGGTATTGTCAGGATGAATGTGGGGGCAGAGCAGAAATACCCTCTGCTGGGTTTTGCTAATGTGAAATCAGATGCTTTTTTTCTCGCTGAAGAAGTTACAAACTGACATCCTCTGTGACAAAGATTTCTGGACCTAAGATTTAGAATTTTTATGTGTGTATCTAGTTATACGAACCTGCTGTCACTGAAAGATCTGCAGGTCATTGTTTCTATGAGCTGTGAGCTGAGGAGAAACAAGTGATCACATGCCCTGTATGGTGAGACTCTTCCCATCTTTAACATGGCTTGCATAGCTTTTAGCTTTTCATTCATGTGAGTTAGAGCAGAGCTCCTACGCCTAGTGTAGGCTTCCCCATGCAGTCTGTGGATAACTTCCAAAAGGATGTCATCTCGTCCTAAAACATACTTCCCTTTAACCAAGATGGGATGAATGACCCTGTGAGTTACTGAGGTATCCTTAGTAACTAGGTAATTTCGAGATGGCGGTAATGAATCTCACTTCCAGTCTGCAGTACAAGCCGTGCAACATATTTAATCATCTATATTTTCAAAGCCTTTGGCAGAGTTAGAACTTCAGATATCCCAGTTGTCAAGAACTGATGGCTTGTCCTCAGTCTTTGCTGCCTTCTGTTAGGGTTGACAGTATATGGTGCTTTCTCTGCACATTTATCGTGTTATTGCCTTTCAGTATGTTGCAAACCATTCCTGTGTTTATGTTATGAAGTGGCGCTGTTTTGCCAAGGAAGAACTGAGGGAGCCAGATTTCCACTAGTGCTGAGCACTGGCAGCCCTGTTTGAAACCTGATCAGCACCCAGCATTCCCAGCTCTACGTTTCTGGGCCGGAGTTGACAGTGAAGCGGCTAAGGAGTTTGGATTTCTTGGAATAAATACAGCCTAGCTCTAGGGAGTGCATTGTCCAGATTTGTTGCCAAGCTTGAACCCTTGTGCCAGCTTTTAGTAAAAGAATTTGGACATACTGATACAGACCTGAATTTTCATGAGAAAAATTTATGTATTTTTTATATAAATGTATGTGTGTGTATATATATATATGTGTATATATATATATATAATGGAATTGTTGTAACATCTGTTGGGTAATGAGGTTAGCTTACTGCATTACTGTAGTAATTTCAGTGTGGACCAGAGCAATGTGGGACCACCAGAGAAATGTAACAGTATACATAGTACAAGCTGGCCGTCCCCTGTTGTCCCCTCCCCAGCTCAACTGTGCAGAAAGGGAAGAAAGAAACTGATGTCCCAATGGTCTGAACCTGGGAAATGCAAAGTGGGAAAACATGGAAGGGGTGGGGGCAATTTTGTCCTTTGTCTTTTCAGTATAGTGGCACACAGTAGTAATTTTCCTTTAGAGCTATATTATAAAAGATGGGGGAAAAAAAAAGTAATTTCTCCTGCCCGTATTTCAGTAGCATATCCTTTCCAAATGAACAACAAGTTCTGGTCTCTTTGTCTTTGCAATCAGCTGCAATTCAGCTAGTTTGAAAACTACATTTAAGATGGCTTGGAACTTGGGAGCACATAAGGCTATGAAGAATCAGAATTATTTCTTTTAAAATTTCTTTAAATCATTTCAAAGGCATCATGTGGATGTCTAATGCTTTTGAGCTTTTTTGAGGGTCTATCATTATGGATAGCATCAGTGTGTCTTTTAAGCCTATAAGTAGTTACGGTTTTAAAATACAAATTCATCCTGTGATTCATCATACTGATACTTCCTCATATGGGGTTATATATATGACACAAATTATCTTTAAATCTGTATTAAGGCTGCCAAAACAAGCACTTAAATTTTGAAAAGCCAGATATTAACTAATTATGCTTCAATAGCTCTAGTTTCCACAGTAAAATGGGCTTCATGGTGAGCCTTCAGTACCTTAGACAAAGATTGGGGGTTGTTTCAGTGTTTCTACTCCAGTTTCATTCTTGAAACTGCTGTGATGCCAAATGGTATTCAACAAACTCAGCCAGAGGCATAAAATCTGCACGGAAAATTTCAGCCCACACACTGAAGTTTTACAAGACTACAAATCTGAATACTGATGAACCTTACCCTTGGAGGTAGACAGGCACACCTGAAGGCAGTATAGCTAGTATTTTCATGTAGTAATCTGCATAGGCTCTTCAGGTACAGTGCTCACCTGCTTCTCTGTCTCTGAATTTTCTGCACAGGTGAACCATACAGATATTCACTCCTTTGCACATGCCCCTGCTGTCAGAAACCAAGTTGGAATATCATGTAGTTCTTCCAGTCAGTCTCTGTCATTGTCAAAGTCAATTCAGGCTTCTGTGGTAATTCCTAAGGGTAATCAATAAATCATGTCATCACCTTCACCCCTCACATGGTGGGGGGAAAGAGAAAGAGCACTTCATCATCAAGGAAAAAGCATTCTCACTGCCATAAATAAAAGCAGGAATGCAGCAATCAATCATCTAATCTGAAGCCTTAAATTTTAAACATCTTAACAAGATGTAAAGTCATGATTCAGGTGGGGATGATAATGCATACCAATATCCTCACCCCTTGGCAGATGAAAGTACTGCATAGGCCTTCGGTTCACTGTGCTGCAGAACGTGGCTTTCCGTGAATGCGGCTGCTTCACTGCATGACACCAGCATATGAATGCGAGTTGAAGATTAAAGCTAAGTAGTAGTTGGTAGTAAAGAGTCTGAGCATAAAAAGTTTTTGATGATAGTAAACCTGAGGGGATTTTTCATTTCTAGCAGTTGTATCACTGGGGAGAGGGTGTCTCTCCGACTTCTAAATCTTTAATAAACCGTAGGCAAGCACTTTGCCTGTAGCCAAAGTGTTAATACAGTGCAGATTGTGAACACAGCAAATGCAGGTTTAAAGATCAAGATAATGAGGGTTAACAAGGATGATAATGAAGGCTAATAACCAGCTCAACAGATATGGGTGATGATAGGAGCCTGTATCTCTGGGAAAGAATAATAGCTATACATTTTCAAGTTCATCAGTTTGGTTATATCCCTAGCCAGAGTATCTGGTAAGAGCACTACAGTCTCAGAATGTTTAATGATGTGGAACAAAACTACTCTGTGATACTCAGTTAAGGGTCACTGCTTTCAACTTCACAACTTTCTAAGCAATGCACCTCACTCTTTCTGACTATTAATCTCTTGGACTAGTTTTCATTCTTCTTTCTTTCTGCAGGTGTAGACTTACCAAGAAGAACAGCTAGCAACCTGCTCGAGGAGAAAACAGCTTGTGTATCTGCTGCTGTGTCCGATGAGTCTGTAGCTGGAGATAGCGGTGTATATGAGGCTTCTGTAAAACAGTAGGTTTGAGAATAATGCCAGTCTTTCCACCAAAAATTTAAATACACCTATAAGCAGTTATATAATACCATAAGTATTTATATAAGTAGGCTATTGGTTGTGTCTTTTTTGTAAATATTTTGTACTTTCATATTGAAAGAAGGGCACATTTTCCAAACGGAGGTGTCATTCGGGTTTTTTAAGCTAATAAACTTGCATTTCAGTGCTTGTAGAATTTGTTTGAGCAATGTTAATAAGCTACCTTCTGATCTTCAGGCTTTTTTCTTGCTAGAAGTGTTCCTAGGAGAAAAGCTGAATTCAAACAATACAGGTTCTGCCATGTGGCTGCATTGACTTCACTCAGAGTGATTCTTGTCACTCACTGTTTTGTTTAGGTACAATCTTAAGATTGCATAGGATTTTGCTTTAAAAATTTCATTAAAAAAAAACAAAGATATAAGAAAGATAAAAAAATCATAAGTTGTAAGGTAGGTATAAAAGTAATTTGGGTTGGGGTTTAATGTTTATGCTTCACTGTGGTAAACAGGATATAAGAAATGTATTTTTTGTTGTTGCTTTTTGACAATGCATAACTTCTACAGGATTCTTCATACTAGCTTATATAGTATTGTCTGGTTTATGGCAGTGACAACAATGAACTTTAGACTGCATAAGGGAAGACTTATGAGAGAACTATGAGAGAAACCAGAATCTTTTTTTTTTTCACCTCAATTTCAGCAAGTCTTTGACATTAAAAATGTTTTGTCCTTTTCATGGTCAGAGAGATGTTTTAGCAGGGTGGTTACAAAGGCACAGATGATGTCTTCTGTTGCCAGGCTAAATGCTTTTCTATTAGGACAGGCAAAGTTGAATTTTGATACCATAAATGGGTTTTATTGGCCTCTGATAGAATTACTTTTATTTGTCAAGTCTTTCACAAATTAAAAGGTAATAAATAGCTGAGACTAAATAAAAAGCTGAAATACAAAAAGGATTTCTCCTGAGCTAGTGCAATGCCCATTCAATCTCACCTTAGGTCATGACCTCATATTTCACCCTGAACTCTGAAATCCTAACATTAGTTTTTTCCATGCCTTCGTTTAGACCTAATGCAATTTCTTGGGCTGAAATAAGCACCCATCTATTAAAAACTCAGCCTTCACTTGAAAGAGTGGCTGTGGCTGTGTGTTTTGGTTCAGTAACCAAGTAATCATTGCTGTCGTTCTATTTGGTTTCGATTCTGAGTCACTGTGATCAAAACAGACTGCCTGCTTCAGTTACAAGGTCCAATGGATAGAAATGAACAGACAGTGGACCAAAGCTGTGGATGTTCTCTAGAGCAAGTCTTCTTGTCTTGCAAGTCCTCTATAGCTGAAAGTAGTGGGATAGGTGGAAAGCAGAACAAATTCCCATTGTCTTCCTGTTGTTGCGCAGGAAAAGATGAAAGAAGACGGTTGTGTTCCCTAAGCCTGTGTAGAAAAGGAAGCTATTGCCATTTGTGGAAGCTAAGATGTACAGACTGTAGATAGTCCAGGTGTGGATATTCTTAATTATTGCTGAGTAGGAAGCAGTGAAGAGGTAATGAGTGCCTCTGTGTGAGTTGCTTATATTTAGTAGACGTGTTTTTATGAGCACTGTGTATGAAATGACTTAGAATTTGTCATTGTGCTCCAGAAGTTGCACTACAGTGATATCTGCTGTACAGACCAGTCCTTTGTATTAAGTAATTCAAGGCAGGGGATGAAATAAACATACTCTGTCAAATTAGCCATCAGCCAGGAAATGAATAGTAAAAAGGAAGCCTCTAGATTCAGAGTCTTAAATTAAAGCTGTCATTTCTTGTGGGATGCCTGTGTCATTCTCCACATTTCTTATCTTGACACTTCTCATCTTGATCTTGTTTATTGATCCCAACAGTCTCATTTTAAAAATCAGTGAAACACATTAATCCTGCATCCTCAGTCAAACCTCCCAGAGAACGACTGGAATTATTTTGCCACATGGATTCTCTGTAATTCCACTGAATGCTAGAGTTGCTATTCAGCTGCAAGATTTGAAGCCCTTTGGTTCTTTGAATGCTTCTGAAAACAGGCTCAGAGGAAAGGTGCTTCTTTGCACAGAAACCCCTTTATTTTACAGAGCTCCTGCTCCTTGAATATTCTTCAAAACAGTATTTCAAACCCAGGTCACGTGTGGTCTGATGTTTATTACAGATCTTGATTTCCTATTTTGTATTCAGTAGGGAGATAAAGAATTACAAAGTATGACTGGGAAAATGTCATGAATTTTTCTCTTGCCTGTTAGTTTGGCCTGCTTCAGTAATCAGCCTGAGGTCTTTCTGATTCATTACTGGAGTTGTCAAACTGTTCAGGCAGCAGCTGTCCCCCAGACAGGTATTTCTATTGTGTAGGCTCTGAAATTCTCATTTGGAGTGCAATGCTGTAATTAAATCAGCCTATTCAGGAGAATGTATATGCATTCTGTTTACACATACCATAATTACTGCTGAAAGCTAACTGTAATGTTCCTTAATTTGGGTATTTGACTCTTTGCCCTAGACCAAATGAAACTGATGATATTGTATATAGTGAAGATGATGCAACACCTCTAGAGGCTGCCCAGGTACAAATAGGACTCAGGTAAGTGAGTAAGTGAAGGGAGTATTTCTGTTTGTACGTGAATGCAACTTGTAAACTTCCCTTATGTTGTCCTTTCTTCAACAGATATGACCACAGCAATTCAAGTTTTGTGATAATCATCGTACGGCTCAGAAATCTTCTGGCATTTTCTGTCCCCCTTGGCTCTAAAGTGTAAGTCAAACAATCACTGTGCAGTAGCAATAATGAATTGTACAAATTCTTCAAAGGAGTTGATTGGTTTACTGCCTAACAGCACTAACATACATATAAAACTTTTTTAACTGTGTTAGTACTGAGCTTTTAAATATTCCAGCAGTGCTGCAGGTAGTAGTTATCGGCAAATTTGCACGTTCCTTTAAAGTGAAACAAAATGATTTTTTTTTAATGATGCTTCATTCAGTGTTTTAAAACATCTTGTAGCTTTGTGAGTGCAGAACAGCTATTCTGTTGTTACTAAGAATGTTCTTTTGATACTTTGCCATTCTTTCATCTCAGAATGTTGTCTTTTTACATTTATGTGGAATTTTGATGTAAAATGATGTTAAAATAGCGTGTGTCTTTTAAGTGAGCTTTTAAAGGTAAGGGGTAATTCAATAAATTGCAGGCGGAAAAGCACAGCCACATTGAGATACACCAGCCCTCATGACTGGAGCTTGGTGGTCTGTTAAGAATTAGTTCTTTTGTTGAACTGGAAATATTGTGTTAGTCAACTTGTGTTGAATAGGAAAGGTCTAGAATAATTGCAGAGGAACTCATATGTAGGAAATGAAGAAAAATGCCTGAATAAGAAAATGTTACTGCTAAGATTCTAATCCAACACTCTCATCTGTAGAAATAAGTACAGCTTGCCTTGGCTCCTTGGGGACACTTGTACTTCAGTGAGGTTTTTTTACAGACTGGAAACCTAGCTTAAACTGTTGAGAAGGGAAATAAGATTAGAGTAGAACAGAATCAATCCTTGCAAAATTTGGTTTTCTTGCTGGTTCCCTTCCTCCTGTCCCACGTCATTTGATGGGTAGATCAAGAGGAAGCCACCGAATATTGAAAGGATGTCCAGGCATACAGGCCTGAGTGGCTTGTTGGATTTTCTCTTTGGTTTTGTTTGATCTTAATAACAAGTGGTGTCTACAGTCATCCTTCCTTCTCTAACCTCCATCTTTCCCCTGCTTGCCTTCCAAGTTCACTAGTATTTAGCAGAGGAATATAAAAAAACTACAGAAGAATGAATTGACACAGCTGAGAGGAAAAGTATACAATATAGAATATAAAAAGAATGTCAACAAAATATTCAGTAAGATAAAGTTAGACTGTACCTGGCTTCTTTTTCTGAAGCTATAATTAGTAGTCGAGAGTCTTGAGTGCAGAAATCCACATCTCCTCCTGTTAGTAAGATTTAATAGAACTGAAGCTACACAAAACAAGGAGGAAGAAAGGACAGGATAAGGGAAAGACCTTGCAAATAGTTTTTCTGTCATTTGTCATGGTCTCCAGATATATGTGTGTATATTATATAGATATAGATATATATGTATAGTACAGGTATGTACAATGATAAAAATTGGTCCTCGAAAATGATGCTGTGTTATAACTGCATTTTCTAGAACATCAGATTGGACAGATTAGTACATTATTGAACCGTTACAGACAGAGGAGTAGATTTGATGTGAGGTCTTACTGATACCTGTTTCCACACTGTTTGTAAGAGCTGTTCATTTTTGGAGTAGGTAGAGCCTAGACAAATACTCTTCATTACTTGTGTCTGGATAATACTTTCATCAGTTGGGAATTCATAGGTTTGTCACAATAAAATCTGAGGCATTGGTTGACTCTTTTTTTAATTGAAATGAAAGTAAGCACTCTTGTAAAACAAAGCCAATGAGCAATTTATCTTTTACTTTTGTGTTTACCCCTCTTGCTGGCCTGATGCAAATAAGCTGGCTGATAATTGTTAAAAGAGAGCTCTAATGAACCACCTTTTAAACATACTTTTAATGTACTTTATCTTCTGTTCCCACCTCTTTTCTAAATGTTTCCTAATTGCTTAATCTATTAAAATGGCTGTTTTCAGTAGACCATGCAAATTGCTCACCTACATTTACGTGAATACAGCAGCAGCATTATGGGAATCGCATTACACTAACGCTTAACTTCAGGATTGGTTTGTCAAAATGTTGAATACCTGCTCTCCAGTCTATACATGCCAGCCAATTTCAATCATAGCCTTTATCCTAAAAAAGCTTGGCATAACCGGGGAGCTCAGGCTATGCCCACGTTCAAAGAACAAACCCAAATTTCTCACAGACCTGATTTCTTTTGGTTTAATTAATGTAAAAAATAAATTTTTAATAACAACAACAATACATACAAAGTCATTACCAGAAAATATAATAATAGTACTATAAGTCTGGGGTGAAAAGATTTTTCCAGAATGATCTTGCTTGGTGCGCTTTTTCTTCTTGCTTTAGCTAGTTTCACTGTTTTCTGTTCTGCAGTGAGTGTCAATTATTTAAAGCCAGTACCAGAAATGGACTAATGCGTAGGCACAGAAAAGGTGTAAAACAATTACTGTGCTCATTCATGTGTATGAGGAGCTGTGCAATAGGTAAATAACATGTACAAATTGCATTAGAAATGTCTTTATCAAGCTGCTATTAAAGTGAGACCTGGAGGTTAGCTAGTATTACCTTTGCCCACGTAACACCCATTCATGTTTGTTACATAAAAAGAATGCAGTCATGTAACATCTTCAACTTACTCCCTGTGCTTAAACTTAGCCTTGCAAGATGCATTCTTCCAAATCTGACTTAATACATTATGAATTGATCTTAAGCAGCTGTGGCCCTAGCTATTTTCTTCCTCATTTTCCTTAGTTTTCTGGTTTCTTTGGAGGTTTTGGTTTGTTTATTTCTTTAAAAGATTATAAAACATCACTGCTTTTCGGTGCTGCTCACATCATTCTAAGAGTTTCGGTTTACATCCACCCAAATTTTTCTCATGTTTTTAATTAACATTAAGATCATATTTCCTCCCATCTGGGACATGATCTTCAGTGTTCGCAGTACTGAACCAGAAGATAAATTCGGAGAGAGGCAGAAATAGCTGCCTCTCTTGCCTACTACCTTACCAGGCACAGAAATTCCTTTTTGGGAAATGTTCCTGCAAGGGGCAGGAAGAGTTTCCCACTCCTCTTTTTCACCTTTTTCCATTGCACCTCTGATTTGTTGCTGTTTCATTTTCTTGGCATTCAGCCCTTTAGTTGATGGGGCCAACTTCTATCATGCATCCCCAGCAAGTGCTGGTTTACGTACAAGTAAAGACTGAGTTTTGTCTCTGTCAGGTATATTAGGGTAGCAGTACTTCCATCTTCAACTGATATCAGCTGCCTGTTCCGCACGAAAGTTCATCCTGCCATGGAAACCATTTTACTCAACGAGATATTCAGAGTAGCCATTTCCCAAGTCACACTGCTACAGAAGACACTGAGAGTAGATGTTTGTGCGGTCAGTCGAAGTCGTCGGGAAGAATGCTTGGTATGCAGCTTTATTTCTGCCTTTGTTTCTTTACATGCATTTGTTTATAGTGTCCCCTCTTATTCTGATGGTCAAGGCTGCTAAAGTTCCACAGTGCATGGAGATAAACTCTGAAGCAAAATTTGGTTGTTGCTATAGTACTTAAAATACTGCCTTTCTCTAAAATTCCTGATACAGAATTCTGGGTGGAAGATTTTGGAGGTGTTTTGATAGTTCTAACACTGCAGGATACAAAGGTGAAATAAAAAAAAACACCTCAGCCCTTTAATTACAGATCGATACCATCTCAGATATTTGTACATAAAATATCCCATAAACTTAATTGCAACATTACTCTTAACGCTAGATTTTAAAGTTGAAAAAGAGCCACAGTATGTCCAAAAAAAAAAGCAAACCCTCATTATCACAACTTGTCAGAAAGAACAAACTCAAACTGCACTTGCACATTGTTGTAAATTATATGATGTCCACTTTTTTAGTTTTTATGATGTATAGAAATAATAAAAAAGTGTGTGAGATGCATAGATCAGCCTGTTGGGAACTGGCACTTCTAAAATACTGTTATTAATTGTGGTCATCAGCTACTTAGTGATGCTTCATTTACTTTCAGATTGCTTCTGTGTGGCCTCGTACAACTCAGCTGAGTTTTTTACCATGAGCCTGACTTAGTAACACAGGGAGATTTTTAGTCACAACACACTGAAGAGATGCAGAGCATGGTGGGGTACCTCAGTTCTGACTACACAGAACAGCCTCTCACTTCCAAAAATGTAGAAGTTAACTTAATTCCTGGGGAATCTATTGGCCTTTTCCAGCGTGTAAGAGATTTCCCTTTAAGTAAGGGAGGGTAGCAGAACAAATACACAACAGAATGCGGGCTACAGAGGTGAAGGAAAAAAACACCACCAATAACAAAAAAACGTGGAAGACATAAGGGTTAATCACAAGGTCAAACTAAAGAGTTCAGAGTACCACCCACCAAAGCAGAAAGCCCTGGGCAGCCCAACAAGAGTCTTGGCAAGAGCTGTGTATGCAGCCCAGCAGCTCTGAAGATGATTTGCTCTGCCAAGGAACAGAGAATTGTAATCTCCAAGGCACAGCCCAAACACAAGTACTTCATAAGTTTTCCCAGAGTGCCAACTCAGTGGATGTCAGCGCTTGTCTGAATGAAAGGGTTTCTTAATCTCTTTTACTGTCTTTTCATCTGCTTCCTCACTGGTCAGAGCAAACAAGGTCACCTGTTATTGTTTGCCGTATTGATGAATTTTGTGGTAGAACAACTGAAAAATTGACTGAAACTTGCTGCTCTGTGAGTTGATGCTCTGGGTTTCATTGACACAGTTTTTCATTATTGAATGCTGTAGAAAGCAGACATGTGCCTTACAGTGATACAGAGGGGTTTGTGCACAAAAGAAGGGGATGTTCTGCACACTGAAATGAAAGACGGCAGAACAGACAATATGAAGGACCGCTCTGCATACTTCAGTTTATTTTAACTAGAAGTGGAGGGCAATAGAAACTTTTACCATTAAAGAGGGAATGAGGATTCGTGTCAGATTGGTGCAGCCTGTTTTATGTGCCAAGTACTGCAGAATTTATTTTCAGCTGTTTTGCAGGAAATAAAACAAATGTAAACTGTTTTCTTCCACTTTCTCCTTTTGTGCAGGCTGAGACTCAGATCAGTCTGGCAGATTTATCATTTTCTGATGGCACTTGTACTCTGTGGTACAACCTATTGCCGTGCAAGCAAATTCCTGGTAAAAAACCCAGGGAACAAAATGAAGAATCCATGTCTCTGTTAAGCAAGCAGTCCTTGGACTCATTGGACTTGGTGAGCAATGTGTTGGGAAAGGGAGATGTGACATTAAAAGGGGGCAGGAGCATATTTGATTGCATTATCGTTTTACAAACAGTCTATTTTTGATTGAGATTTAGTCAATATAAAAACAGTCAGTTTACATGCTGCATGCTGACACTTAAGTACCCACATGCTTGTGATCCAAGTCATGTGTTTGCTGGTGTCAGGGAGCAACAGAGTAATGCAGCTCTTGCAAGGACTGTCAGATTTTTTTACTTACTTTATGTATCACATGATTCTGGTTTCATCTTTTTTGTTTGTGAGCAGGATGCTGTGTCAGCTCTGCTGGAGAGGACATCTGCTGAGCTGGAAGCAGTAGAACAAGAGCTGGCTGAAGATGATGAGGAGGAGGAAGAAAAGGAGCAAAGGGGCTCTGAAGAATACTGGTAAAGCCACCTTTCCTCCCTCACTGTTCATGCCTGAATAGACAAATGAAAGGGCTGTACTATCGGAGGAGATCATAGACTCATAGAATGGTTTGGGTTGGAAGGGACCTTTAAAGATTGTCTAGTACAACCCCCCCTGCCATGGGCAGGGACATCTTCCACCAGACCAAGTTTCTCAAAGCCCCATGCAACCTGGCCTTGAACACTGCCAGGGATGGGGCAGCCACAGCTTCTCTGGGCAACCTGTGCCAGTGTCTCACCACCAGTCTTGTTCTGTTGTGTGGCCAGTTCATTCACCTTCTCTCAGGTTTACTGTATCTTGGCTGCTCTGACAACTCCTAGTGCTGATGCTTCTCCATTCCATGTAGGAATTCCATTCCATTCTATTCTATTCCATTCCATTCAATTCCTGTGAAGCCACCCAGGGAGTCTAAGCCACTAGAATGTCTTATATCAAATACTAGTTTCATCAGTGTTAATAAGCAACTAAGGTTTGAAACAAGGGCTGCTAACAGAGTCAATGTGTATGTGCTTTCGCTGATGGTCTTGTTTTTGAAGACCATGTGAGCTTTCCAAAGAAACAGATTTCTTTCTAAATTGCTGTGTTGAGTTCCTGTGCAATTTCTCAGCTGCAGTGTAGAAATAAACATGCTTTATTACAGGGGAAAGAGAGACTTGCACATTTGTTTTATGAATTTATTGCAATGGGAGTCCTTCAGAGGTATCAATGTAACAGCCATTGAATGTAGTGCAGTGTTGTCATAATGATCTCGAAGGTGAACTGTAGTAGAGCTTGCTGGGGTTTACTGGAGCATATAATGAAATGTGCCTTTTAGGTGAACTTAATGGAAGCATTTGGGTGATACTTTTGTTTTCCCTGTCAGGAGAATATGTACATTATATATGTGTGAAGGCCTAGGCCTTCTCATTTATTTCTCTGGTGGGCTTTTTAAGTTTGAGAGTAAGCCTGGGCTACTTCTGTCCATACAGGTTAGAAATGCTTGCAGAAGCCTCTCGTGAAATCGTGGATGAGGAGGAAGATGGCATTAAGCTGGCAGTAGAAGGCAACTATACTGATGGCATGGGGTTACTCACTAATGCACCAGAAACGAATGAAGACAAGGACAGAGAGAACAGTGATGAGGCCCATGAAAGCCAGCAAGCTGCTGCAACACTAACACTGGTGAATATCTTAAAATACGCATTTCTACGGTAGCTTGCTGTGTCTGGAGATCTGTTTCTGAGCAGTTAATGTAGAAGTCTGATGCATCTGAGCATTTACAGTTAGATGTAGCCTTTGCTGTAGCACTTGTCAGTATATACTTTGAATGAAATCAGTGTGGTCACATCTGTCTGAGCTATGAAGAGGACATTTAACAGACATGCTAGGCTGGACTTCAAAGCCAATTAACTAAAAAAGTGTATGTTTTTTGTTGCATAGGGAGTATTCCAAATACACATGTAGTTCAGTAGCTGCAGCTTGTGCATATCTAAACTATTTCTGCACGTCTGTTTCATTGTTTCCTTTTTTGCTTTTCTGATTCATCTGATAAATGGGGAAAGGCAGAGCAGGGGTCAGGATCTCTAAGCCAGCGAGGATGATGGGATTCCCTGACTTCTTCCCCTTATTTTAGAGTGTGAAATAAAAAAAACTGGCTTAGCAGACAAGAGGAGGAAAGATTAATGAACAGAAAATTCCAAAATGTGTTAAACTGTAGACTATTGAACTACCCACATGCTGCATATACCAAGAACATGCAATGAGACTTTCTTAACTGTTCACTTTAAATTATATTCCACCTTTCTGAAAGTACTTCTACTAAATTTTTAGTAAACATATCCCTAGCATGGTGGCTCATACTGTAGAAATAAAAATTTTAGAACAACTTTGTGCATCTTAATGGTTGCATATGTTAAACCCACAGGTTCTGTAAAATAGCAAAGGTAAAAACGTAAAGAATGACATCTTGTTCCTTCAGGTTTGTGACAATACATAAGTTCAGCACCTCAATGGACTTGCTGGAAACGGTAATTAACTTCCAATTAATGTGTCAAGATGCCAAATGAGCTATGGCCATGGTACAAAGGGACTGACAGTCTGCTGGGTAGCAAGCAAATATAGATCAAAGCCCTGAATCGGCAAGGGGTAGACATCAAGGACAACATCTGAAGGTTAGGCACACACACAAGTGTATTGCTAAGCCCAGGCTGGACAGACCCAGATAGTGAGTGAACGTCATAGTGGGCCTCATTTTAAACCCAGCCACAGCACAGGTCTTCATGTGCCAGATCCCCTCAGGGTGGCATTTGTGTTATTTGGGTCATTGTATTTATCACCTGCACGTTGAAAACCATGAACCTCATTAAATTACCCAAGCTGAAGAAAATGCCCCAGCACACGTCAGTGACAGTCGATGTGCCAGCTGCTCCAGTGCTTGTTCTGTCCTGGCTGTCAAGAGGAATGCTGCTTGTAAGTAAGCGCGAGCTGTGCTACCTGCAGGGATGTGGCCACCTGAGGCTCTCTGTGGCATGTTTTGTAGGCAGCAGGCCGTTCTGGGGGACAGCAACTAGCAGTGTCTTTTCCCTGGGTTCACAGGGCTGGCACAGGTCTGCAGATCACAGTAAAGCAGCCCTGCTGCTGGGGCCTGGGGACATTTGACAGTATGTCTGAAAGAAGCTGGGCAATGTAACTTTACCAGCTGCCCCTTTCAGTGTGCAGAGGCACCATCTCTGTCATGGCAGAACCCTGCTGTTCTGCAAATGCAGGACAAAATAAATACATAATAATAATAATGATGATGATGATGTCCGCAAATAGCGAAGCAAAATACTTGTTGCACCATGGTTGCATCAGACCATCTACAGGGCAGCACAGGCCTTTCTGCAAAAGCTTTGGTTTTACTGGATACAAAGAGCACCTTCCAAGACTCTCTGCCACACTGTTAAGTTTGGGAATATTGTGTTTCTTATCATAGCTTCTCTGAATGTGCAAGATGATTTCTGCTGATGGCCTTTTTCCATCCACTGCAAGGTAACAAGGATGCTTGTAAAATCCAAAGGCAAAAATCTATGTGGTGGCATGTGTCTGTATATAGTAGTTCTTATAAACTAAATTCCTTTTCATAGGTTGATAAAGAGACTAACACTGAGGAATCTGTTAACGAGAACACAACAGTCCGACCCAAGGACAGAGCCAGCTGGAGCACAAGACAGCATCCCTTTGTCAGGAACAGCATGATAGTGCGCTCACAAACCTTCTCTCCAGGCGAGCGGAACCAATACATCTGTAGGGTAAGGGGAAAAACACTTGGGATGAGGAGCTATTAACTGAAGAGTCATTTAACTTCTCGGGAATGATGCATTAATGACAGTGAGTCATGTACCAATTTTCCCTGCAAGAGGCAAAGCCTGTGCTTTCTCTAGATTCTTTCTTTCCCTAACTGACCTGATGCATACTAGAATTGACTTTCATCAGTTGCATACTCTTGCAGAACAACTTTACTAGGGCAAAACCACATTTATTGGAGAGAAGTAACACAGATGCCTGTGCTGGCTATCTGCAAAGACTGTGTTTCCCTGTGCATCAGCAGCTACAGCTCTCTTACAGGAAAATAATTTGTTAAAACACAGAATAGAGTTCACTGTAAACTGCCATTGCATTACCATATTTTAATAACCATTTAAGGGTAACAGTGTGGAAAGAGCTCAGTCATCAATTTAAATCTTGCTTTGTATCTCAACTGGTTTTAAACCTGGGCAGCCCAAATCCTGCTCTAATTATGTCTTTGAAAGGTGTGTGAGCGCTGCCTAGGGGCGAGTTTTAAATGTGGCTTCAAAAGCAAAGTTTTCCAGTCTCTGGATCTCTGGTAGCATGGAAAAAGATTAAATTGTCAGCCTTGTTGCTGCTAAACTAACTGTGAAAATCATGTGTTTAAAGATTTAAGCATGGATTCCCAGCTCTATAGATTTTAATTACAGACACCCTAGAAAAGGCAGTTTAATTTGATCTACAGTTTCTGCAGGTTACTTACACAAGTATAACTCTTTGAAAATACTTAAGCTTTAATTCTTTTCCAGCTCAGTTAGAGGTGGTTGCCTTAATCATTTGTGAATATTAAAGTTGATTGCTTCTCTGTGATTCATACTGGTCTAAAAAGTAGAGTAAAATGTGTGGTCAGTACTTACACACTTACATAACTATTCCACATACCCTCCAGAACGAAGCACTGCAGATCGTTTAATAACAGTCTTTACATAATTTGGGTAGGTTACTGGCTGAATTCAGAACATAGCCTTCATCTTCATCTCCATACACTGGAAATTGGTTGTCCTGATCGTGTAAACCCTGGACATTTTTGCATTTGGAAAAGTACTGGAGTTTTGTAGCTTTGAACATTGTTGCCAGAAGCCAGGGTCTGAAAAACATACCTTAAGTAAAACATTCTCTTCTCATTGTGTACAGTATTGCCTGGAAGCAGAACACTCTAGGGGAAGTACATGTTTACAGATGAATCTTTTCCAGTTTCAGAAATACCTGTAGTCCACTGCTGGGGCTCAAGAGTGGCACTGTAGCTGCACCCAAGTCCACAGGGAGGGCCGATTATCATGGGTTTTCCCAGTCCTAGTCCCCAGCTTGTACCACAGGCATACCCAGCCTTGCTTGCTTGGTGGTGCTGTCCTAGATGAAAGTGCCTCTTGGATACGATCTGGCTGCCAGCTGCTCTTTTCAGAAGAGGTTGCCTAGCTATAAGAAAGCACCTACTCTCATACGATGTTACAGAAAACACAGATTTTTGAGCCCTGAAGGATGGACTCAAAGTCTGTTGGTGCCTTTGAAAATGACCCTTTAGAAGTATTTAAAGAATATCAGTGATGACAGCACCTGTGTGTATCCATGGGTGAGCTTCCAGTAGCGGCTCCATGGTGAAAAGACAGATTTGTCTCTTGAGAGGTGTATCCATGTTGCCAGAGGTTGTCTTTCTCACCCCCAACTCCCAGTCAGTCCAGTGTAAGCATGTTTAGGGCTCTGGCTTTGGTTATTGAAGTGTTACCAGAATGATTCCTTTTGTCTGCCCTGTTCTGAAGAGGTGAAATAAATACCTTGCAGATAGATGCTTCTGTTTTCTGTGAAGGTTACCACCATGCGTTTTGATGCATCTAAAAATCAGTCTGCATCGATGTATGTGGAACTAATGCTATAATGAAGAAGCTACTGCTGAGCTGTGGTGCATATTTTTGAGAAGCAGGACGTACTTCTGAGGGAAGCTGTAGGCACCCGTAAACTTGTTACTACTACTACTACTAATACAAAAGTACAGTTGTTTGGACAGATGCATGTCTATAGTAATTTACCTTCACTGCGGTAGGTTTGTTAAAAGCCTGCCCCAGGTAAATGAAATCCATAGTGTATATAATCTGCAGCCAGACAGTGAGTTGGCAGTACTTAATAACCACAGTTGTCTTCCTTGCATTCCCAAAGCGTCTGCTTACTCTTCATCCAGTAATATCAACGGTTGTCTTGGTTTAGGAAGAGAATTTTAAAGGAGATGCTTATTCTAGTTGAAAAATTTTTACTTTATACTAAGAATGACCTACATGTATATCAGCATTAAGGTTTTCTGATGATCTATATCAATACAGCTGTATATGTATGTGAATGTGCTTCATATCTCTGTTATGTACATTTTGACAGCTGAATCGAAGTGACAGTGACAGCTCAACACTAGCCAAAAAATCTCTCTTTGTGAGAAATGCCACAGAACGGCGGAGCCTAAGAGTTAAACGGGTATGTGCTATGTTACCTGGGCATGGTTTAAAACAAAGTATGGGGAGAGAAGGAATAACACATCTTGAAATAAAGCATATTGTTTATTTCAGCAAAAGTGATGCAAGTACTACATGTGGTCGTGTAGTTCCTGGTTGAAATCTCACCACAGTTGTCTCAGTGCTATGTCTTCCCCCATGAACCAAGCTGACGTTCTAGCTGTGGCTGAAGCCAGCAGCCAGACACTGGTGCTCAGCATCATGGCATTTACTGGTGAACTTTAGCTTGTTGCTGTCAGAGGAATGTGGTTTAAGGAGCTCAGCTACTTCAAAGTGACCTAAGGTGGTGGCTTATGCTACCAAAAGTCAACACCAGCAAAATGTACCTTGAGCAAATTTTGGTCAAAGTTTCAAGGATTCAGGTGCCCTTTTAAAGAGGATTTACTATTCTCCAAGACTGAGCAGCAAAATGATTGAAGGACAAGAGAGCAAGGTTGTATTTCTCTTGCATGGAGTTCTTTCTTGATAAGTTGAGAGCTCTATTTTAATCTTGATTATAACTAAAAAAACACTTCAGAGAAGGTTTTTACCAGATAGCAGGATTACATTTGGCATAAAGAAAGAAATACTGAATAGTCTGGGATGGCTTCTCATGTGAAAAGTCACTGTCGAAGGATAGCAAGTAATGTGAAATATGCTAAAGAAATGCATTTTTACAGTGTTTGTAACAGTATGTGTTTGCTTAGGCACTGAAAAAGGAAATACTCATAAAAATAAATAGAGAGGTTGAAATCTCTGGGGAAGTCTGCATAGTGCTGTCCTGGGGAGCAGAATGGGTTTTTGGTTTTAACTTGTAAATATATCGTTGTACATCTGGTTGGAGAAACTTTTGCATTCATTTTTAGCTAGTGCCTGACGAAAAATTGCAGAATAGATGAATTTTTGGACTTGCATCTCATCATAGCAGCTTTCTGCTAAAGAAAAACAAAAACATTTGAGCTTTTCTGACAGTATCATGTCAAAGCCTACATCAGCCTCTCTAGATAATAACTTTTATTGTTCTGTCTCCCAGCTGATTCAGCCTGTTTGCCAACCAATCATGCGAAGAGCTACACAAGAGTGCCCTGTACGCACTTCCCTTGACTTGGAGCTGGACCTCCAGGCATCACGCACGAGGCAGAATCGACTGAATGATGAGCTTCAGGCCTTGCGGGATCTTAAACAAAAGCTTGAGGAAATGAAAGGCAGAGGAGAGACAGATCTTCCCCTGTGTGTGCTAGAGGATGAACGATTCCAGAAACTCTTGAAACAGGCTGAAAAACAGGTATGAGCAGCATACAGATATTGTGTGAGTGAATGCACATAGGCCCCTGCCTTTTCTGTAAATTTGTTAAAGAATTTGGCTTATAGTGTTAAAGATGTTTTTACAGAAGCTCACAATTGACTAAATACACTTCTGAATTGCATAGTGTAAACTATTTCTTTATTGGTCAATACTACAGTATTTAAACCTAGAATCTGACGTACTAGTTTTCTAGTACTCTGTAAATACTTTGGCAATGCAGCGTAGAAACTCTTATTATTTGGAGTAATAGCAGTGGTGTAGTAAACCAGCATTTACTTAAAAGTGAATTTAAAATTCTCATGTGCCAGCTGTACTTCTGCAGACAAATGGTTTTTGTCCTTCAGAATCAGGTGATTTGCAGCCTGCACAGAAATTGAGAGAGGCAATGACTATTAGCTATAGTAGTAGGGGTATGTGGGAAAGGCAGTACTTCCACTGTGGCTTATTTCCTTATGCAGGACATACTTGTTCTAGTTTTGGCAGAGGAAAGCCAAATTCTATTCCCTATATGATGGTCTCTAAAACAGTACAAGTATATATGCACTTTCTCTAAACGCTGTAAGGTAGTTGCATGCCCTTATGGATAAAAGACAACAAACAAGATAGAACAAGTGAGAGGCAACAGTGACAAGTTGGAACATGGAAAATTCCAACAAGATGTATTAAAAAGTGGGAAGGTTGTTTGTTGGTTTAAAATTGCGAAGGTGATCATACACTGGAATATGGGCCTAGTAGGAGAGGCAAAAAAGGTTGGACAAAAGCATTGTTTTATGATGTAAATATATGTAACTTAAACACTGTTCAGTTCTGGATAATAAGTTCAAACTGGATAATAAGGCTACAGGGGGTTGACAAGAATGGTCAGAGGAGGAAACAGCTTCTCTGTTAGGAGTGGCTAAGTAGCTACAACTGAAGTCTATAAAATAATGGGTGAGGTGGAGGAAAGCACTTAATCATTGTCCTTTATAATACAGGAAGTAGGGAATTGAAGAGGTTGCAGGTTAAAGGAAAGCAACCATAGCACAACATTTAGAAACTGTAAAAATGCTTTCCATGGAACATTGAGGGCTGCAAGTTTGTAGAGGTTTGAAAAGCAGTTTGATAAATTCATGGAGGAAATATCCATCAGAGGTCATTAACCATGATGATATCACCTACTTCAAGAAGTCTGACTGTCTGATAGCTTAGGAAACAGAACCTTTTCCTAATATGTTCTCCCAGCTCTATGCTTATGCCCTGTTCTGTTCTCTCTGTCTTCTTGTCTCTCTTTCCTTGGCATCTGCTGTTGGCTATAGCTAGTGGAGTTCTCAAATGGCTGTAAAGTACTAGCAGAGTTTAGGTTGAGCATTAAGAGAGAAACCCGTGGGCAAAATGGGATAAGACAGTGCAACATTTAAACATCACACAATATTAATCTGGGTTTTGACAGTGTGAATTCATTACATTAAATTGATCTTTCTAAGTTGCAGCTCATAAAAATAGTAGTAGCTTTATATAAACGGATGGCTAAATTTTAGAAATTCATAGTTCATATCTAATGCTGGGTGCAGGATAGAAATGGTAATTTCTAATTGCTTATTTAATACTGTTCCCACTCTAAAGCTATTCCCCCTAGAACAGAGTATGCCTTTGCAACATTTAATATTATAAATCCTTTGGATTTGTGCTTTCTTATTTCAGCTGGCTCTTTCAAGGCAGCAGACAGGTTTCTCATATTTTATACCTCTTGTGTCAGTCAGTGATCAGCACCATGACACACACTGCGATAAGGAATAAGGGTAATAATGTATGCTCCTAAAATACATGCAGGCTGCAGCATAGCATTCAAGTCCTTCTTAGAAGTCAGAACAAGGATCATGGCCACTCCACCGCTTCGAAGAGCACTTGCAAAGTTTCTGGAAATATTTCTACCATTAAAATTGCTGCAGCTTTCCCCTGTGGAGCAAAACAACCCTGAGAATACTGTACTCTGCTGTCAGTTTCCTCTTGGGTTAGTGAAACACAGCAGCCTAGGGAACATTGTCATAGATTATTTTTTAGATCCTGCAGGTATTATAATGGTGCAGACTAATGCAGCAGCTGGAAGTGCCAGAGAAATTGAGTCTCAAGTGAAAAATGAAACCGCAGATGCAGGGGATGTTGAAAATCAGTGGCTGCCTGCTAGCATGTAGTTACTCTGCTTGAAGCCAAATACACAGACTCCATACCTTCCTACCACACCTTCCTAAGTACAAGTATGTAAAGCTCACCAGTGCCTGCAGATCAGAAAACAGTAGGTAATTCTATGCACCAGAAGCATTTTCTCTTGTTTAGATTGCATTTTTGTGAGAAATCACACAGTATTTCAAAGTTTGAGTCTTAAATCCTCATAAAAGTAAGTTTTCAGACACCTAGTGTCCTGTGAAGGACTTCCTCCGTGTATGCCCAAAACAGATTCCTGTAACTATCTGTAAATGTCTTAATTTCTTTTCAGTGTATCTGTGTAGAGGTGGTCTGCAATTAAGTCATTAATACCACAGATATGTTCTTGTTCCAGTGTTTTGGTGTTCAGCACAGTTAGCAGTTTTTCTTTAGACTCACTTTCTTCTATACAAAAACCATTGAAGAATAAGACAGGAATTAGCATTTCATCTTATTTCACCTAAGTAATTGTGATAGTGGTTCTTCTTTGTTATCCCAGTCTTAGGAATCTCTGCATCTGCACTTAGCTTACCTGGCACTTATTTTTGGCACTTGTTAAATGTATGGCCAATGTATTAGTCTGCTTTTCTGTGTTTCATATAGATGGAGGATTCACTGTCTTTATAAATCACCCAAGAAAGATGGTGTAAATGTAAAATTAGTCATGTACATGCCTTCATATATTCATGCTCTTGGAGACACTGGGTGAAATCAAAGTTTCTCTGAGACCATCCTGAAAAACTAAAAGGATTAAAAACCCCCCATGGTTACAGAGTATGAAAACAAGAGAAGTCATCTGTGCTGTTAACCTGAAATGCAGTAGTCACAAGATTCTCATGTATAGTTAAGGAAAATATAAAAGATTTTGAAATATTGTATGTTTAGTGCTTTGATGATAAATGTTAACTAGGGGAGCTGATAAAACATATGGCCACTGACATATGTAAAATTAAGACAGTAACAGTTGTCATTGCAAATTTATGTTCACTAACAAGGAAAACAATATTTATAGGTTAACTTCATTTTAAAATCATACATATTTTGGAGTCAGGGGCTGAAGAAGTTAACAGCAGTACAAACTGACTGGAGTTTGAGGGAGTTTTTGAAAGGGTGGTGCTCTTTCATGTAAAACCCTTTCATATAGAACACTGGAGTGCGTTTCAACAGACAGAGGATACCACAGTCCTGCTGTGAATGGATTTCTATAGCTGCCCAGTATGGAACTGATAGTACGGACTAACTTTTTTGAATTAGTTGGTTTTGTTGTTTGGGAGTCTACTGGGTTGAATTCAGAACTAGAGACATGAACTCCTAAGTTACAAACCAACTCTGAAGATCACTGGTTTTGGCTTGGGTGTGTGTTTTAATTTGAGGTAACAGAACAGCATCTTCAAGTCTGAGTGCCTGAAGTTAAGCATAAAAAATACCACCTCTAAAGAACTTTTAAAATTGTTTAGAACATGAACTGCTTCTATTAAAGTCTGATGGCTGGCAAAATTCAAAATACAGTACATGACTTCAGGGACTGTCAGACAAATGTCGAGAAATGAAGCTAAGCGCGCACACAAGGTGGCATTGCCCGTGCCATGCACCCTACACACCATGGGGGTGACATTGCGGTGTTCCGGGACTCACCTGCATATGAACAGTGACCATTTATCTAATAAATCCAGGTGACTGTCCACCTGAAAAGAGCTGTTCTTCAAATTGTTGGGCATTCAGAAACACTTGATAAAGCCTTTTAACAAACAAAACACAGCTCTTGATAAGTGTGCTTCCAAAACAGTGGATGGTACAGCTGCGATTATCCTGTTGATGCAGCAGTGTGTGGTAGAGATGTAGAATAGCACCAGCCATACCGAGGTGCAGAAATACTGTAGTTTACTGGCAGCAACGTATCTGCTCAACAACGCTCATGTCAAGAAAGATCCGTTATCTGTTGTCATCAGTGGTGTTTGGTTCACCTGCCTTGGCTTTTACAACCTCTCCAGTGCAAATGAAAGAAGTGTCCCATACAAAAGTGTTGTGTCATGAATGAAAGCACAAACGTTTATGAATATTAACTTCGCTAACAAGGTCAGTAAAACTTAAAAATTCATTTTGAGAGCACATCTTCTCTGGTTTTTGTCTGTAATTTTAGAGTAGGTATAGGCAACTTTCCTAAGAGCTTTCATTAGGAAATAAAAGTGCATTACATGGGGAAAGAATGACTGTCTCCTAGTTATAAAGATACTTGGATAGACAGCATCTGCTCATACAAATTTAGGTATTGTCTAACTGTGGCCCTAAGACAAATCTCATCAAAATCTACAATACCCTAGTAGCCGCCTGTGATGACGTGGGATTTGCTCTATTTATTTGAATTTTTCTCTCTTTTTTTTTTTTTTTTAAAAGGAAAAGCTCTGTTATTTTGTGCCCATGGCTTGCTTTGTGATGCCAGTCTGTCTTTCTGACCCTTTGTATAGAGATTTTTCATAGAATCATTTAGGTTGGAAAAGACCTTTAAGATCAAATCTGAATGTAAACCTAACCCTGCCAAGTGTTTTGCTTGATGAAGAATAATTTGTCATTTCCTTGAAATGAGTAGTTGTTCATTATTAGCAAAATAGTTATTTTTCCTGTTTACAGGCTGAACAGTCAAAAGAAGAACAGAAACAAGGTTTAAGTGCCGAGAAATTGATGAGGAAAGCCTCTAAGGATGTATGCCGGTTACGGGAGCAGAGCCAGAAAGTGCCACTGCAGGTGCAGTCATTCAGGTAGGACCTGTTCTGCTTTTCACTCTCTTTTTAATGTAGTGAAGTAATACAGAGTATTTCCAAGCTTAAAGAGACATGCCTTGTAATGTTGGTCAAAAATCTACACAGCTTTGAATTGCAAGAAACATTATATGTTTTTAACATAGCTCTGAGTTGGAGTTTCAGAGGACTGGGCCTTGGTAACTCATGTGGCAGCAGTGGCAGTATTTAGCTGAGCTGTGGTGGTGAGGAAATGGAGTGAAAAGTTTCAGATCTCTGTGGGCAAGCACGTGTGCGACCATTGCCACAGCTCACCTCACCCACAGCAGATTCACAGTGGGCTCGAAGTCATGGGGTCTTTCCCAATGATGGCAGGTGCCTGAAGCAAATCACCCTGCAGGGAGAAGTAGAACAGTGTACATCTTATGATTAACCACTACTTGTGCCTTGCTCAAGACTTCTTATTCAAGAAAGATCTTGAGTCCCTCCTCTTTTGTGTTTCTCCCCTCCTTTTGGTTGTGGGAACAGCAACCAATTACATGAAGCAATATCAAGTTTTCTTGCTTAGCGTAAGCCACAGTTGAACACTTTCTATCTCGAACCTTAATTCTGGGTTGTACAGGTCCCCCTAGTTGGATTTGTTACACTGCTGTGGCCTCACAGCATACCCATGCAGAGGCATTTTTGAAGCTCTCAAGAAGAATAACTCTTCTGAGCTTTAACTTTTAAGCTCCAAATACTTATCATCTGTTTTCTAGGCTGCTGGCAGACAGGCTTTTGTAAACCTGTCATGCCTCAGTAATCTCTCGGTTCATAGGAGATAGAAATGGTAACAGCACAGGGAAGCAACTACAGAAAGGGTTGACAATTCTGCTTCCAAGTATTGCCCAGACCCAGTTATTTTATTATCATCTCCCCCCCCCCCAAGTCAGGATAAAATGTTTTATTTTGCCTTTTTGTCCACCCACTGCAATATCATCATAGGAAATCAGTGACTAGATCAGTATTTGAGCCTGATCACTGCAGTTACTAATGAAATATTGCTTTTTACATAAATCTGCCTAAGAAGGGAATTATGTCAGAATGCCACATTTGCTGTAAATAAAGTCACTCTGTATTTTCCTCACTGTATATTTTCCAAACCTATACTTTAAAGAACGATGCTGTAGCATTAGCAACTCTACAGCAGATGACACTGGAGTCATGCCATAAATAGTAAAATAATAACTTGTTTTCCTTTCTAATTTCAGGGAGAAGATAGCATACTTCACAAGAGCAAAGATCAGTATACCAGCCCTTCCAGCTGATGATGTATAATTATGCATTTTCATTGAAGTGTTTTTCCACTTGCTCATCTCTTTTCAGATGAACTTAGTAGTTCCAGTGACCTGCTTTGAAAGATCTTCCATTTTACATTCACTATTGATACATTTATTTGTAAGATGCAGTGAATTGAATTGTTGTATGCTTAAAAAATGGCAACCCCTTCCCCCCTCCCCCCCCCCCCGAACAACTGGAAAAACCAAAGTAGATTAATTTTGGTATACTGATGCTGATTTTGTACAGTTTGTATGTATTGCATGTGTTTTTATTTTGTAAAGATGGAACAGAGGAACAAAGGCAGTACTAAGCATGTATCCTGTTGAACTGCACTGTGTTGAGAAATATTACGTTCAACAGAAGATTGTTTATCTTTTCACTATTTTCATGTGAGCAGACTGTGAAGATGGCTGATTTGCCATGCAATATTTTTGTACAAGAGTGTGACTTTTATAGTATAAAGTTAACCACAAGCGTAAACTCCTTTCAAGAACATCAAGGCTGCCTCACAACAGCTGCTAATTAAATTCATCACTTGCATTGGAATCTTGTTTCTGAAAACAGTTTTTTGTGTTTTAATGTTTTGTAGGAAGAGATAAAGTTCAGTTTAGTTTTGTGAATGTACAGTACGTTAACCTGCACTAAAAGGTTTCTTGCATCTGCGGGAGAGTGAGAAAGGCAAGGCAGACAAGTAACCCTAAAAACTTATTATGAGACTACCAAAAGGGGCAGCTGCTTTCTGTACTGGAAGCTAACTCAAATTCACTATACCAACACTGGAATTAGAATAGTCATGTTCGCTGCACACTTAAAAACGAGAGTTCCTCTATCTTAATCTTTCGTCCTAGAGGCTTTCTTATTGCCAACTAGGAATACCTAAAAGTGTTTCTTAGGTTTACAAATATGAAGATTTTTCATTAAAGTATTTGTACCAGCAGAAAAACCTGTCACGTACTAACTCAGACATCAGAACTCTTGTTGGTAAGGTAAACCCTTCCTGAAAAGGAAGAGCTCCTCACTAGAAGTCTTCACATGTTTCGGTACAATAAATAGCATTTTATAGCTACACACTGACCCTGTATGCAGTTGAGGTCGCACGGGGTTTAATAAACAGATGTTGCAAGTTCTTCTTACATGAAGCAGCCTGCTAGGAAGAAGCATTGACTTGGATGCATTCTGTTAGAAGCACAGAACATTATATGTAGGCATTCAAAAAGCCCTGTCTTGGTAAAGCAGTTGAGGTCCTATTTTCTGTGGGTACTGTGTGAGGGGGCGGACACTGCAGAAAAAAGGAGTTCATTTTCTACTTACACTGTTGAATTCACTGGCTAAAGTTTTCTTCCCCAACAAGCCATGGACTTCATCTTTCAAAAAGGCTGTCATTACTTGGTAAGAAAATGGAAGCAAATACAACCACAACATGGTAGCCGCTGCCTTAAATTCAAAGTGACAATTCTGTGACAAGAGGTCTGTGCAACATCCAAGGGTTTTCTTGTGCACAAATAACATCAGATCGCTTAAATGTACAGCCAGACATGCCATTTGGGGCAAGAGGACTGACTGAACATCCTTTGTGAATGCCCCATTGGGGTTTTGTTTGTTGGGTTTGAGACAACATTAATGTGTGAAAGGTCAATTTAAAAAAAAACAAACAAATCTGGAATTATTTAATGTAGAGGTGAAATGAAGGTTGACAGTTTCAACTTCTCCATTTGATTATACGAGTTGTTTGTAGAATGATGTTTAGATGTGTACTTTATGATTTTTCTTTTATTTATTTACAGTCTTATTTATGTTCTGTTTAATATAGTTCAGTTCTGGCCATAAAAATATTTGACATTAAGGATAGTGTAAAAAATATTTAGAGCTGTCTCGAGCTGCCAGATGAGCTGTTTCTCCTCATGTGTTGGAATAGTAGGAAAAAAAAAAAAAGAAGTATTATCATCTGATTTGTAAGCATGAAGCGAGGTCAAAATTTAAGGAGTGCTGGCTTTAGCTTGCAAAACTCATTTTAAAATGAGAGACTTCTACATATTCATGCTCCTTGTTTTCCAGACTGGTAAAGTTGAACATATTTATAGGCAGCTTTTAACATTTCTGGAGTTTTGGGGGTTTTTTTAAACTAATTCGGATTATTCACACTTGAAACATTCAATAGAATAAGCTAAAATAATCCATACAGGTAAAGCTCCATCAGTTTAAAATTACAAATATTACTCTTGAAGTGGAATTTATTCTGCACAGCAGGGTATAACGAATGTAATTAGTTCTATTTCCAGGTACCAATGTCACTACAGTTGCCTGTATCAGAATCTAAACATCACTGGTACAAGAATATTTAGCCAAATAAGCAAAGTTTAGCACAAAATGTAATAGAACACAAATCAAATAATTAAGTTTGGGTTTTTTTACTATTGCTATGTTTATACTGTATTAAATATCAAATGCTCAGGACTGAACTAAGTATTTAATCAGGTTATATTCTGAATGTGTTTCTGTTCTAATTTTGTCTGTAAGAGTATGCAAGTACATCACACAGATTAACTTGTCTCTGCACTTTCCATGTGTTTCAGTGATTGGAAAATACATTTTTTTTAACAAAGTTCTTTTCCAGACCACTGTTTTATTTCATTCTTTTATTGCTGTTCTATGTCTCTCTCTGCTTTTTGTACAAACAGATGGCTGCTGCAGCTTTGTCAGTGTAAAAATCATTGCAATTTATAGAAAGTTGACATCAATCAATGCCAAGTCTTAGGATAAGTTAAACCAATTCATATGTTTGAAGCTAGCTCTTTACATTCAGTAAGTAAAAACTGCAGGAGCAATGGGCAAAGTCAACTCTCCACTGGATATCTCCTCATTATGATTGGGGAATACTGGATTTCCTTGGGGAGGGATTGTGCATGGATAGATTCAGTCTTTCTCTCTCTCTCGAGGATAGTATATTACATGACATTATACCTGAGAACATTTAGTTTATTGTGACTGATACAGGTCCAGGGAACTTCATCCAAGGTTGTCCTGTATCAGGTTTTTGTAATGCGTGTTGAACTGGCACTACAAACTTTCAGGACTTAAACTACTATTATGTTTTGTACAAAATACATTGTTTAAAGCGGCCCCAGTAGGAATTCTGCTATTTAAAATACAGCCAAGTCTCCATGCAGAGATTAAGAGATTAGGAATTTTATACTTATTTGTCCTAAAACATGAAGCAAGCAAGCAAAACCCCTACAAAACCAAAACGTGCAATTGATCAAATTTTGAGGAAACAGAGTGGTGACTTAGATCTCCATAGCTCATCAATTAGTGTAATTAAAATTGAAGGTAAGTAGTGATTAGAGGAACTACTTGGTAAGAGGCAATCCCTCCCCTCAGTCTCCTGAACAGTAACCTGTCAGGTCAGCAGACGTTTCTTGCTGTAATGCAAGAGTAAAATCTGAAAACCTGGTATCTACCCTTTTTAAAGGGTTCCACTTCCCAGATGTTGACGGGTTTCTTGCCTATCTGCCATGGCATCCTGCCCTGGTAGCTTATGGTCTGCTGAGCAGCAGATTGTGAAGAGGAGACCCCCCCAGATTTATAAAAACTAACCAAACTAATCACAGAATAGTACATCCCTTGTTTCCCATCTGGGCACAACCTCCGGGATGTCTGCATCCCAAAATTCCTGGGTTATGGTACAAGCAACCCAAGAAACAGATGAAGGCCAAAACTCCAACCACCCACAGAAATATTCCTTCAAGTCTTAACAGCTGTTTCTTTAGCTTCAGCTCTGTACCCTCCATCTTTAGGCAGGACAGACCAAGACTATAGATCACAAGGCTCAGAAAGTCCTAGTCCATATGTTGTACATACTAAAATCCTAAAAAACTGTAATTCTAGAGGCAAAACTAGGAAATAATTAAAATCTTCACACTGTGTTCCTCCTTTGGCTCGGACTGTATAGTTTTGCCATGGTCCAAAGCTCCAGTACATTTAAGTCTAAGTTGTGATTTTTCCAGTCTGCTAAACAGTTACAGGTACCAAGTAAAACCCATCCTAGTACAGACAGCAGCAATCCAGCTAGCTGTAGCCTGTGGACCAAGTTCCATTTTAGCCGCCACAGAAGTGCTGCACCATTTGCTTTTGCAGACACTCAGTTGTCATCCCAAACATAAGCAAAAGTTAAAACAATGCTTTAGAAAGCATGGAATACCCTTTCCCCTCCTGCTTCGTGTTGCCTGGTTCCAGTTGCAGTGTTTGGGGGACAGGGATGTAGTGTGGTAAACCAGTAGCTGAAGGGTGCAGCCACAGCTGGGCTTTCCTGGGGCTTCTTACTTTGTTTTGGGTTTTAGGTAAAGCATGTGTTTTGCTTTCTATCAACCTGCTAAATCATTAACAGCAGTTCTGCTAGATCTGGCATCTCACAGGTCATTTTTAGATGAAGTTTTAATACCATACTGATGCAGATGAAGCTATCTGCTTTGGAGCCAGTTAAGTATCAGTTGTTTAAACTCAGAAGGTTTCAGAACAACATGTTGCTATAAATGAATGGAGTTTAAGGAGCTTTGACAGGGTACCTCATGCTTTAATACCTGTACCAGAAGAAGTTAACATAAGGATTTTATAGAGCAGCATTTCTCAACCTATTTTGGGAGCCTGAAGTATGCAGGTGCCAGAAACACTCAGAATAACTTGCATGGGCAGCTTAATGTGCTAGACAGGGGAAACACAACTTGCTGGGTACGAAGCACCCACACGCTAACGCCCCATGCACAAAAAGACATCTGCAAAGCTTACTAGAATTTCAGAAACCTACAGTTTTCTGAGCACAACGATTTCCAAGTACACAGAAAGATCATTTGATGCAATGCATGTATTTAGACTGTTTAGGATGTGAAAACTCAAGTTTGTACAGCACTGCATTAGGCAAGTGAAAAACTGCAACAAGGAGTCAAGCGTTGAGGCTCATTTAATCAGTTACATACGAAAAGGAAGCACATTTTGGTTAAAAGCCAAGCTGTAAGGGAACATGCATATTCATTTTCAGGATTTTACAGTGCAGTTGAGAAAGCAAAGGCACCTTTTCTGCACAGGCTATGAAAACTTCAGCGTTCAGCTGTGAAACAAAGTTTTAAACAGTTCTGCATGTGAGAGAACAACACCACCTTCCAATACCGGTTAAGGAGAAAGCAGACATAAGTTTAGGAAATCGGCTAGGTAACAAAGAGTCCTTTGAATTTCTACTGGAACAAGCATCTGGCTTGCACTGGGCTTTGAAAAAGATAGGGCAGTCTTTCTGTTCTGCATAAAACCTTCCATTTTAAGACCTAGTTTCAGTTTCCAAGTGTTGACACTGATCTTGCTGTTCTGCTACTGTGTAATGGGCCGAAGATGGATGGACTTCAGTTGAACAGATTGTGCAATTAAGTAGGGATCCTCCTAAGATAAGACAAAACCCAGCAAGCCAGCCAACAAATAACGCTTCCCCAAAATCCCACCTGGGAACAATATCTGGTATATTCTCATCCCAAAATTCCTGGACTGTGGAATGGGCAACCCAAGAAACCGGGACAATAGCTGTAATCCCCGATATCCAGAAGAGCACTCCTCCAAACAGCAACAGCCGTTTCTTTTGTCCCTGTTGTCTTTCACCAATTTTCAAACAGTCCAACCCAAATCCTGAGAGCAAGAGGCCAAAAAGCCCCGATCCATTGGAAAAAACCATCAAAATCCTAGAAATCCGGAGCTCTGGGGGCAAAGCTAGGAAAGAATCGAAGTCCTTGCACTGCATTCCCCCTTCTTCCTGGACAACGCAAGCTTGCCAGAGTCCCATGGTCCAGATCTCCAGTTCATTCAGGTCCAAGTTAAGATTTTTCCACTGGGGTAAATAGGTGGTGAGACAGGACAGGACCCATCCCAACAGAGAGACCAGTATGCCACTTAATTGCATCGTTGGTTGATAAAGCAAGGCCATTATGAGAGCAGAGTCCTAAAAGCTTGAGGAGGAAGGTCTCCCCAGCAGTCCTGGAACAACCGCTGCCTTGCGTGATGGTGGAAGCTATGATTATTTTAGTTCTCTGCTGCCCAAAATATAAGCACTTGCTATTAACCCTTTGTGA